GGTTTAACATAATGAATTTTGTACATTTTTACAAAATCTTCATAACCTTAGTGTCAACGCATGACTCAATATAACTTCAGATATAAAAAATTAGTAGGTTCATTATATGGAGTCATAATATATAACACAGCGATAAACTCCATAACAAGAAGTGTAACATATATCATTTTACATTAACTTTTTAGGTGGATATACCATACAGTTGTTATGATTGTAGCACACATAAAATTTCTGTCAAATAGTGTTAATTATATTTCAAGATTTTCTGATGGACATTCCTAATTGTGTCACAGCTTTGAATTTTGTAATTATTTTTATGAGGAATTAGAATCTGATGATTTCTGTTTCACATCCTGTTGATAGATCTTGTAGATGAAAAGATATACAACTGATTGATAGTCAGCCCAGAATGTTACAGTTATCTGCTGTGATTTTAGTTGCAAATTGTGTGATTTTTGTGAGTGTCTTGATGTTTGTGTTGGTTTCTTTTTCAGCTGTGATTATCTAGCTGTATAGTTTCAATATAAAATAAATACACCATTACCATGTTTGTGAATGTATTTTCTAAAATGTTCCTATATTTTTTTTAATGATGTTGGATACTTAATGTGCCTCAATTTCTCTATCCACAAATAGACTTCCCAGATTCACTGTCGTGGACCACCCACCGTACATCCCAGACTTGGCTCCATCTGACTTCCACCTCTTCCTGAAACTCAAGACATCGCTTGTCACATTAGCTGAAGACCGGTGAGGAAGTGGTTCTGTGAATAAGAAACAGCTCTATCATAATGGACTTGTGAAACTATATGAACTTGGTAGAAGTATGTGGACCGAGGTGACTATGTTAAGAAATAATTTTATAAAATTAGGTACTATATTGGCACCTACCTCTAAGGGTTGAGGAAAATCATGTTACCGAAACTTGGTTTGAATTATCTGTGTAACATTAGGTTTGAGGTGATGTTCATTTGGTACATGTGGCCTGCAGTCATAGTTTTTTTCATTTGTTTAGACATATGTGCATACAGTAACCGAACACTTTTCATGTTAATGAATTTATATATTAGCATAGCTATGTGAGTTGACTGTTTCATGTAAGCAACCTGTGTAGAGAGCAATACCATTTAGACCACAGGCAGAGACATGGAACGTGACGTTTCAGAAGGAACTGCTAAAATTGTGATTATATTCTGCAGGTGGTTTGATTTATTTCCAGCCACTGTGCTTGTAAATTGTACTGACTTTTCCCCCATTATCCATTTAATTCTTTTATGGCTAAACAATGTCCTTCTTTGTTTAGAACAAGAAATAAGCTTCATAACAAAGCAAAATGAAATAATATTATGCACATTAAGCAATGGGAGATGGAGGAATTAAAAGTGGTTTGTAATGGGAGGGTGAAAACTAGATTCATCTGAGTCTGGACATGGACTATTGGTGAGCTGTTATGATCACAGTATTGAATATTTGGGAATTCCATAAAGGCAGATAATTCATATACTTCCGGAGTTACTATCAAATTCCCATGAAGGACCTTGCTCCATGGAGTATCACATCGAATTTGAAAAGCCAATGAAAAGATAAATTCTAAATTAAAAAATCCTAAATATTTTTTTGTCAGTCTACTTTTATCAGTGGCAACAATACCAATTTCTGAAGACTTCATATCAACTGTGAGTTTATTATCGTATACAATATTCCCAAAATCAACATTTTTGCGTTTACTCAGATACAAAGCAGGCCATGTCAATGTACAGATGCACTAAACTGTTGGTAGATGGCAGTTGTATGCAATTACTGGTGTGAACATTGAAGCTGATAAGGTTGTGTGTGGGCGTGTAAGTTCGTTGATGGTGGGGGTTGTTATCGGTGCCGGTTGTAAAAGGTACGAGGTGACTGGGATGTCAGAGTGAAGTGAGTTTTCCAGCACAGAAAATATGTGGGATCAATTTATACGCATGTCTGAGAAATCGCTGAATTTCATGCTGTACTTGAAACTAAGATGTTTGAGTAAGGTTGCTTTATCATTGATCGACTAAAAATGGTTACTGGTTATGCGCAGTGAATAGTAATGAAAATTTCGTTCCTGTCCTCGGGTGCAACTATGATTTTTCCTCCGGGTAAGATAATTTGGCATTTATTGGAGTTGAGTTAAGACTTAAATAACAAAGAATGGCACTCAACATGGGGAAAGAAGGGCTCTGTGGCGTGGTTCTTAGGTCGTTTGGCAAGCGTCAATCAACCATGCCAGGACTTACTCTTAAATCAGGAATGGGTAAGTAAACATAACCTATTAAATGAGATTTGATGTTTTCAGGGTGGTGAAAATGTGGATTGGCTAAGACACCGTGTAGTCTGCCATCTTCAAGGCTGTATGTTGCTCTCCGAAACGTTGGTAACCACCTACAAGACTACACGGCGTTCCAACCCATAAGACCGTAATCCACGTAACTTGTAAAAATTTAATAACGAATTTATATACAAACACTTCGTGCTTATTTGTGGCATTTGTGTAAGTAGTATGTGCGGGTTATGTCTATGAACGAGTTGCTTTCAGGTGCCAGACTTAAAAACAGAGTATTTTAGGGAGTAAAATAACAACTACGTTGATTGTAAACATTCGGATGTGAAGAGTGTGTTCATTATGTACTGGTACATGTTACGGTGAACATAGCGTAACATCATATTTTTGTCTACACGCATGAATGTGAACAGCTATGAGTTAGGTTTTAGTCTGCCATAGCAGACGATTGCTAGCAGCAGTGTTTCAATTGGACAGTGACGAAGGTGATGTAGTGATTGGTTGGGTGGCAATAGCGCGCCAAGCAGACGACAGTTGAGGGACAGGTTCTGTACAGCAAAAGCGATGTTAGTCGTGGGGATGCTTTGTCAGGACGAGGCTGGGTAAGAGGAGTCTGTGGAACATGGTGTTGTTCAGGCGTAAACGGCAGTCAGATCGACGGGAACTGCTCGCAAGTATGAATCAAATGGCGGTCGGCAAACCAGTAGATAATGGTGAGTTAAACGTGATAATAACGTCCTGTTTTTCTTGTTTCACCTTATACATTCTACGCAGCTGGTATAAAAGGACCGTCTGGTCTCTGAAAATCTTCAAACAACTAAATGCTGGCAAACGAGAAATGTGTGTAATGAATATAAATGATCGGTATCGTTTATTTAACCCTCCGTACGTCACAGAGCCTCCATGCAATGTATGAAAATATGAGTTAGAAGGCATCATAAATTATGTATATAAACCTAGAGCAGAATTTGTCATTTGTGTTGACATTAATATTAACTAGCATACTGAAAGTTACCACAAACAATGGCTCAACCCCGTGCCAGCATCTGTGTATCCCATGTCAATATTTAATTTTTCCACAAGAATTCAAAATTAATCCAATATTGCCACTGACAATGTTTTTGTAGACAGTTTCAAGAAAGATTATATTTCTATTGAACTAGTTGTAAATTATATCAAATCTAAAAGTTCTTGACGATGGTGATGAGTCATTTGAATAAAAATTTTCTTGGATATTATCTATCGTCTAGTAAAATAAAATATAAAACGACGTTTCGGAGATGGGGGCTCTATCTCCGTCTTCAGTTGGGCCCACAAGATAGAGCTAATCCCTATCTCCGGTCCGCAAGTATGAAAGATCTATGGAAAGTAAATAAATTCTGTTCTATTCTATTCTGAGCAAGGCGTAATAAGCTATTAACTATTGGGCGTCAAAAGTTTGGTGCCTGTTATTATCGACTTGCGGTTACCACCTGTTGACATTAATGTACGCTAAATTCGGAACGTCGATTGGCTGGTTGAAATGGCTCACACGCAAGGCAAGCCCTGGCATCTCCGATCGATGCTGCAGAGATTTGTTGCCGCAGACTGTAAATATAAACTTCAAACCAAATAGTGACACTGGCGGAGGGAATTGTGGGAGACTTGGATTGCACTTCATGGGTCTGCAGACGCTGACCCAAAAGGAGGGGTCAGCTGATTGATGAATTTCCACTGTGTTACTATTAACGTACGTTTTTTGTTATTTCTAATAATTAATAATTTGGTGTGTGAACATTCCAGGCATGTTTGAAACTCTACGGTCGCTTCCTTGCCCTGTCCTTCCACCACCATCATCATTATTAGTTTATTTGACGTCATATAATTTGTGCAGTTACAGTTGTTCGATAAACCGAAAGAGGGGGCGTCGGTAGCTTTATTTCAGGAGTAAAATGGGTGGAACTAGAAGGTGACCGCTCACTTACATGTAGTTTTCGAGGTTAGGAATGCATGAACCTTGTCTTCCACGCCTACTATACACTTCGATGGTGTGAAATGAATGCTTGTGACAAGTAGATGCCCATTTGACGGCCCCACAGCTCCTGTTGACCTTTACAGCATTCCAGTCTAGTAACACCGGTTTTAGTGTATGGAACAGAATAGGATTTATTTACATTCCGTAGGCCTAAGTACTCGTTCTGTACCTGTTTGCTGGAATGCATATATTTCGCCACTTTAATGACGGGTAAGTATCTTGGAATATTTCCTCCAGTGAATTTTCATTAATTTGTTATTACTAGATCGGTAATTTAGACAAAGGTCTAGTTTGTGCTTGCAAGATGTTTTGATGCCTTTACTAATACAGTCATTATTTTCAGGATCAGATAGTCCATTTATTGCCGGTTCAGTAGAAATATTCTAGGAACTGTCTGCAAAAACATTGCCTTGAGTAATTTTGAATTCTTGTGGGGAAATTAATTATTGACATGAGATTGAAAGATGCTAGTATGGAGTTTGATCATTGTTTGTCTTAACTTTCAGTATGATAGTTAATATTAATGTTGTCACAAATGTCATTCTGCTGTAGGTGTGTAAAGACAATTTGTAATTCTTATTCCTTTAATAGTTTATTTTCGTGTTGATTGCTGCTATCAACCATGGATTTACATCTTCGTTGAAAGACCAGTGATTGATGCAGAACATGAGGAACACACTTTATTTTTTACGACCATGTAATTTGAAGGGTATCAGGCTTAAGCATTCCAGCCCTTGTTATAGGCTTACAATAGAGACAGCATAAATTGAGTCCCAAATTTTGCCTCATCGGTGAAATCGCCTACCATATTATTACGAATAATATTAATTCATTACGTTGTTTAATGCGGTTACTTAGCGGCATGTTGGTGATATGTCACAGAACTTTCTTGTCTATTTTATTTTATTTTTTTTATTATTAGTGTTCTGTCTGAGGACAGGTCCATATGAACAGGATCTTTCCATCCTTTTCTCGGACTGGGACCTGTTCATATACGTTCTTGGCAGATGATCCAGAAGTGGTTTGCCATTACCTTCTTCTGTGTGTGAATGGAGTAATTGTTGGGATGCCACGGAGAAACCTGGGAAACTCCGTGTTCCCTAGACCACGGCCTTGCCCAACACAAGTTATAAATTCGGGCATCGCCGGGAATCGAACCCAAGACCCCCAGGATTACAAGGCCAGCGTTCTAACCGCTAGACCATCTTGTCTAGTGTTCGTATAATACATTTTTAAACTTCCTCTCATGTTTTAAAGACTCGTCCTGAAATAGTTAAAATTCGAGAATGTATAGCTCGAAGCAGCTATCAAACCAACTAAGGGTAACAAAGTCCTCCTTGAGAAGTTGATGGACGTTCTTCCAGTCATGTAGTTTCCGGTAAGAAGACTATTGTTCATGACCGTGTTCACAACAGCTCACGATTGTCCCCTGTCCTAGGGGAAATTAATCTAACTCACCCCCTCACGTCGTATTTATTTAAAATTCAAGTAGGATTTGAAGTTCTCACGGCGTTGAGTACGAAGATGTCTGGTTGTCTTCTGGGTTGTCGACCTTTATCCGATTACCCTGATATTTGGTAAAATGTTCAAACTGTTGAGCTGCACGTCTTGTGATTTATGGTCCTGGTGCACAAAGAAGTACACGACCTCGCTGATGAAACTGCAGTGAATAAGAATTTATAGATCAGCTCTGCTATAGGAAACTGGTAGGGACCATTTCCGGGCCATAAGTTGTTTGAGGATCTATAATTAAAGATACGATTTTGAGTTCTTTTAATGGTGGGAACATGTGACACTTGAAGCTATTTACGGATCGCTTCTTTGAGTTGGACGCTGCGTTCTTCATGGAGTCGAGTATTTCTGGATCAAGTGAGAACATTGTTCTGTTTCATTTCTAGACTGGCGCAGGCGTCGATACTGAGATGTTTATTCTTGAACGACGACTTCTTGTGTGTGTGTTTTTTTTGTAGACTCTGCTCTGAAGTGTATTTATTGCAGATGAAATCATCACAGTCTTTCGTTAGTATAGGATTCCGGGCCGTTTCCTTCGGGCGAATAAATTTTTTATTGCTAACTGTATTTAGTTGGTTATATTACTACGTATCAAATATTGATGTTATGTAGCTTTGGACGAGTTGCTGCATGGGGATAAACATGATATCAACCAATTAAGAACTATTCTTACTGTTTTGAATTTAAAAAATTGATGAAAAACACGAAAATTATATAAAGGATAAGTCGGTACTGGTCGTGATTCGAACAATGTAACTTCGTGCCAGGTTCGCGTCGAGGCAGCCATGTAGACCCAATACAGATCTGTCCATTTGGCTTGCCTTGCTGTCTATATTTTTAAACCGTCATTGTTTCTGAGAACTGAAGTGACCAGTGAGAAAAAGGAATTCACAAGAAAGAATTCGAAGCTGCTTACATAAATAACTACGGTATTTGTTTTCGGGTTAAAGTTTTCTTTTCTGTTTTAACCCGCGGAAAATTCCGAGATTTGTTTAGGCGTGTTCGCGGCGAAATTGCAAATATGCAACTGTTAACTTCGCTATGTTTATATATTTTGTGTCCGTCTGTTAGTTTGTTTGAACTCGAGAATTGAGAACTGATTTCAGTATTCGTGAGTTTTAGTAAAATTTGTCGACACATTGGTTACCAGTTTTTGTTAAAATCTAACAACGACCACTTTACGTGAAGACCTTCATGTTTTCTGCACGAATCTGACGTAAATATTTATCGTACAGTAAAATATTTCCAAGAAAAGTTTAGAGAAAAAAGAAACACTTTCGTATGTGTGTACTGTTTTCGAGGTGAGTAAACAAAAGGGACCCGCCCGACTGATTTTGATTAAATTTTGTATTTGAGTGTTTGTTTTGCGATGTTTCTAAGAATGCATCTAAAGTTAGCACTCGCGAATCAAAAGTCTAGAAGCAATAATATAGGGAATGTGCAGTATTTGTTACATACTTTTTCTTAACTTGTCTGTGGAATTCAACGTTCTCTCAGTTTGCCTAATTAAGAAGTTTTTAAGAACGAAGTGTGAAACAGCGATTTCTAAATTAGCACTCAGAACAGTTCGCGATGTTTACATGTTGAATTGCCGATAGTGTAGCAACATTGACGTTTCGTTGAAATCCTTGTGACCTCGTCATCACTAACTGGATAACTGGTCCAGTGAATGATTTTGGTGTTAATTGCATTGAACCTTCGGGTTTTGCTACCACACTGTACACCTGTGATCATAAAAATTGTGTTTGAGTTTTCACGGCAATGTACAGGCCGTCATACTACGAACGAAATGTTTCGTTCAGAAACGTCGACACTTCTGTAAATCTCGGCCCTGAAACTTCTATCCTGTCTAAGGTTTTCCGTGTTACTGCCTTAAAATAGGCCACATCTTCCTTCCAAATTCTTCCAATTCACTAATCATACTATCATTCGACGCTGTACAGTCTGAGCTACGTACATCGTCCTTAAATAAACCACAAATAAATAAATTTAAAGTCTTTTGACTGGGTCTGCTAAATTTACCGAGCAAATTAGTGTCTGTTTTGTCCAGTATGGTCCGAAATTGAAATCGGTAAATCATAGGTGATAAAATCGACCATTATTAAACTTAGTCCTCCTACCTGTGACGGAGAAGAAACGTGATTGACGGGAATGGAAATGCGTACTCTTTGGAGTACACTAAAATTCCAGATGGTTTCTGTACGCCATATCACGGTCGTTGACGTCAGCAGGGGAACCAAAGGAATACAAAATGATGCAGTAGTTGTGTCCACCAATGAGATATGACATTGAGAAAAGTTGTTACAACAATTTGATCCGATGTAGTTGTAATAATGCTCTGAAATACGTGGCAGGCGAGTATGGACAGATCCAAGAGGAGGTTATTCGCTTACGACAAAGTGTAATAACACCCAAATACTGGCAGTTTGCTTATGTTCTTCGAAGGACTGTTAATTTCCCTTTGAGTTTTGCTTTGTTTAGTGACCAGACGCAGAGCTTATTCTCGAGATGAAAGACATCGGTGTTCCTTTCGTTTACGAAATTTCGGACTTCTCGTGTCATATAATCAAACCTTTGATTTTATACGTGTTAATTTATCTCATGAAAACTCTGATGTGGAACATAAACACGTTTTACGATCTGATGATCTACTCTTTACTTGGAAGACTACGAATTCATCTGTTCTTCGGCTCTGTTATCAACATTTGAGGAATGCTATCGAACTCTTTATTTCTTTTTGGTCAGTGCATCTGTTTTTCAGTTGCCACGAAACGTTACGCTCCAGTTTTCTTAACGGTGCATGAAAGAGGTTAAGACCACTCTCTTGCTGTTTTACATACTTTATTGACCTTAATGTTTATTGCATATGCAAATCTCTTGTTGCAGAGCTGATCATAATTTAAGTACCACACGTCGTAGAGTAAGAAGTCAGTTCTGCCTTGATTTTATTAAATATTCATCATATATTATGGATTAGACCTATGGGCCTGTTATAATTCAAAATTACTTCTGGAACTTACGAATTCGTCTAGACATTTGGTAGGAATCCGTGGCTGGGGGATCGACCCGTCGCAAGGCCTCTACCTACACAGGACAGCACAAATCTGAGGACAATAATAATATTTTGAGCGAGATTCGAACCCACGATCCCAGTGTCTTGGTGAACGCCTGCCCCAAATGTCAGATTTCTTTGGACGGTTGGAGGATGAATGTAATGTATAAAAATATTACCATTGAATATGAAACGGCCTTTCCACCAGACCACACATCAGAATTTGCATTCCAGTGGGTGGGCTCGTTTAACTCAATCAGCGACTCTGGATTCGGTGGATCGTAATATTCATTACAGTTCATGAGCGCAATGGGGTGTGGGTAATGTGAGTCTTCTGTCTTGTTGCAGCCGCCTTCATGCACGTACGAGAAAACATCGAGGACCTGAACGGGAGAGTTGGTGCCAACGACACAGATCTCATTTTCCTGAAGGGCCTTATGGACAGCCCTATCATGAGATCACTAGTTAAGGTAAGTGCCTCATTTACTGCTGCATCTGACTGTTTAACAATCTGGACCTCGCCTAAGTATTATTTAATAATTCAGTCCGAACACCTCACTTCACCAATGCAAACATCACCTGGTTAACGCTGTTTACACAGAGAATGACACAAAACCAGTAGCTAAATACAAAATGCGAAGTTAAATGTCATATAACTACCACAAGGCTTTAAAGGGGTAATTCTAGAACAACCACTCGTGTTTAGCAGTGTTTTCTGATTATAAAGGTATAAATCCGCCACGATGGTATGACTATTTTGGGAAAAGTGGCGTATGGCATAATATTCATACGAAATTTTATCCAACTTCTGCCTCGTGGAACGAACAGACAGGCACGCACCTTGCTTAAATTCCAGGTGGGTTTTAAATCCATTGGAAGATACTAGATCCGCACTTCTTCAATTCAAGTTCCTCTGCGCACATTCTTGCGTCTGCATAGCGGTGAAAACACTCCTACCTGTGTTACCTGCCGAGAGAAAGCGTTACAGCTGTAGGTCGGTCACGCAGCAATGTTTGTTTAGTCCATCTAAATGTTAGACACGCCATATTATTTCTAACTTATAACGATTTCCTAAAGCGATCGTCGAAGTAATTTAGTAATTGCAGAAACATAATAGAAATAGAAGGTAATAGGGAGATATGTCGAAAAGCAGCCGAGTGACGAGCCTTCCAGCTTGGGGTGCTGGGTTAGAGGCTGAGCAAACATCTCTTCCTAAACAAAAACTAGCAAGTTACACAGAACTCAGGCGGATTCCCCGTAAGACATAAAGGGATTTTTATAATAAATTTCAACAGATTCTGATAGACATCTTTACTCCCGTGAGAACATCAAGTCTTAGATAATTATATTGGGCATTTAGATTTCTCTGTTTGTTTGTTGTTTATTTATTGTGAAATAAATGGAGACCGTTGATTTGAACCGGAACCCGTAGACCATTTCGCCACCGCCACTGCCAGAACACCAGGGTGGCCAGATGTCACTTCCTGTCTCGTAGTAGAGGACGTCATAGGCTTCGGTGGCTGATGTTTTTTTTTTCTGGTGACTATCGATTCCTTCAGTTTCCTAGTGACCTTAAAGATGGCTGTCTTCTGGGTTGCTGCACCATTTAGTATGGTAGTTTACCGACGTTTCATAGGTGTTGCTACCTCCTTCATCAGGGCGATAAAACGTCTGTTAACTTCTACCAGAGTAAATAACATAGCAACCCAGAATACTGCCATCTTCATACACGCAGCCGTGATAAACTGAAATATTACGTAATCTTTTCTTCTTCTTCTTCGTTATGGATGATTTTAGATGTGTCCCATTGTATTCGACGGTCTTCATTCCACGAGTGTTCTGTATTTTTTTTTAATTTTTTGCGCTAATTTTAGTTTTTTTGGAGTTGGAGATTATATAGCTTATTTTTCCTTGTGAATTGTAGTTTATTATTGTTTCAAAATTACAATTCATAAATAATTTATTGTGTTTTTTCTATAATAACATCTGCAGTGTGGTTTATTTTGACAGTAGCAGTTCTTCGTATTTTTGAACACGTCATATTTAATACTGCAAATGAGTGGAATGTCGTCGAGATATTTTCTTTGTATTATTTAAAGATTTTGCGCGCCTCTTCGAAAACTCTGTTCTTCCCATAAAATCCCTCACTGTAAAGCTGAACTCTCATCTTATTTTCGTCTGCTGGACCTTGCGTTTCGTAATCACACACTGAAGCTATGATGAGATACTTAGTGGAAGATGAAAATCATGTTTCTGTACAAACTTCTCTAAGTTGTAATAAGGTGCACTTCAAGGACACCGAGTTTGTTTTCGACGTTGACTGTGCTTAAGCTTTGTAACTGCTGAGAGACGAAATAACTGGTGAGCACTGCAGCAACGGAATCAAATCGTCTATTAGTCCTACCATACTTTTAACGCAGAGCTGGGACGAATGGTAGACAAACATGGCAGCTGCCTAGGATCCAGCTACTACTAATATATTATAATATGGAATCCATTGGGGTGATACATCAATTCACAGACGTAAAATTGATGACCAAATCGTTTCCCTGGACAATTATCCTTCTATCAGTCAGTACGTTAATGTTAAAACCATGGTTATGTCCTTATAAATTCCTAAATATGTAAACTGTACATAAAAGAACCGAAACACGTGACTGTTCATTGCCACTCAAGAGGATCCATATTCGTAGCCTGGTTCTAGTCTGACGTCCCATACTTTTATTAGGTGTGGAGAAACGCTAATAAGCCACGCGATGCTTCTGTGAACGTCGTGGTTTTGAAGTGAGGAGTAAACATTAGCTGCAAGTGTCCCAGTTTTACGTTAGCCAAAGAGGTGGATGATCCACTTTTCAGTTCACAGAAAATGAGCCTTACCACCAGCGCCATGTATCCAATCCACACCCATGGTAACTATATTTTTAAAGCCAATTTCAATATAATTATCCCATTAATGCGTCTCCCAAATGGTATAATTTCTTGAGATTTTTCTCATCGCATGTCCCATTCATATCCTCCTCCATGATTTGATTACTGTAGTATTTGGCGAAGAATAGACGGGAATATTACGAAACTTTTCATTGTGTATTTTTTCCCCAGTCTTCTGTTACTTCCTGACGTTTAGTTACAGATATTCTTCTACTAACCGCCACGGTGGTCTAGCGGTTAGAACGCTGGCCTTGTAATCCTGGGGTCTCGGGTCTCGGGTTCGATTCCCGGCGGTGCCCGAATTTATAACTTGTGTTGGGCAAGGCCGTGGTCTAGGCAACACGGAGTTTTCCTCCGGGGGCTTCCCCGGTTTCTCCGTGGCATCCCAACAATCACTCCATTCACACACAGAAGAAGGCAATGGCAAACCACTTCTGGATCATCTGCCAAGAACGTATATGAACAGGTCCCAGTCCTAGAAAAGGATTGAAGGATCCTGTTCATATGGACCTGTCATCAGACAGAACACTAATAATAAAAAAAATCTTCTACTGACACTTCCTAAGTCTCGTACGTTCGTATTTTTCAACGTGAACAGCTAATTTTCTCAGCCATCATGACGTCATGAACGATTCAGTAGTGACGCTAAAATGTTTCTTCTCATTTTGAGCCCTGCGATAATTTGCGTGAATTCATTTTATTATAAGAGTAATATGAACATGGTAACGTAGTTTATTTTAAGATGTAGAGCAGTAAAGCCGGTTTTATACCAACGGGAAATGCGTTTTGTATAAACAGTAGAGTATGCAACTTCATGATTGTCGTAAATCATGTGCCTTGATAGCCTTCTCATAATATTCAGCCTGATTCACATGTTGAACCAGGGTGGTTCAACTTTCTTCTTCCCGGGGCCAAGAATGCCAGTAGCGTGTGTGACACGTGTACGTAAAGCAGCTGACGAAATAAGTCAGGATACTTTAATATCCTTAAGAGTAAATAAAATAAATGAGCTTGTACTACCTAATAACAAATTAGTAAAGTATTATGCAGATTTGGTTACAATTACGTGTTGGCTGAAGACTGCCACGTTCCAGACATAGGCATAGATGTAAGGATAATATTAAAATTGATTTTAAGGATATAGGGTATGATGGTATATGATGATAGTATCAAATAGCGCGCATTTGCGAACGTTCCAGGGATTTACTAACCAAGCGACTGTCAGCTGTTTGACGGAAGTAAGTACAGTGTTGAATTTCCTGCAAAGTTAACTCTTCTAAGCCGGGCGAGTATGAAATTATTTTTATCATTTGAAGCAGTTCGGCTAAACAAACAGGTTTGTCTGTAAGAGGTCTGAAAGCAAGTTATATTCAGGGAGCTCTAAACAAAACAAATACTAAAACGATGATTTATGAGATTTTAAAACCGCAGCTTTCATGTTAGTTGTGTTCTGGAAAGAACGAGGTCGTCATCGGGTTGGGGTGCGGGAACAGTAGAAAACTGTTCGAGTACTTAAGCTACTACTAGTTTCAAAAACATCTGTTGCAGCAGTAGGCGTTCTAAACCGCTTTCCGAAATAGAAAAGTCCGTCCGATTGAAAATTCGTTTATCCGCGTATTTCTTATATCAGTAATTATTTGCTTTTGAATTTTGGACCGAATTTGTAATGAGTCAACTAAGTGAAACAGCCAGTTAAGTTTATGGTCGATGTTTGTCTTCTGAGTTGTAGCGCAGTATAGAAGATTTCCGACGTTTCAGAGATCCTTACGGCTTCCATCGCCCTGATAATGGAGGCAGCGGGGACACTGAAACGTTGGTAAACATACCAGACTATAATGCATTCTTCTCGGGCTTACAAGCCGTGTCAGATGGTTGAATGGAGAAAACTCCGTTTCGAGAACCTTCATCGTCCTTGTCGTCAGGGTAGCCTTCAGTACCCTGAAGACGAAAGACTACACGGAACTACAAACCGGATGACAGCCATCTTCGTACCGCCGTGAGAACCTCAGATGCTACAGAATTTCCCCAAGATTTGTAATCGTGTTCATAAGAGTCTATTACTGGATCCTGTTATGAACGACTAAATCTAATTCACACCCTCAGACTCTTATCTATTTAACACCTGTTATCTCCTCCAGCCTTGTGGTCTTTTTAATTAAGAACATTTGATCTTAGTGACGGGGAGATAATGCACAAGAACCAAGTTATGATTAATCTTGCATGATTTTCGGACATTTATGGGTTTAGGTCATGGTTTACTTGCAGTGGGGCCGATTTTCCGTCTAAGGAGTCCTTCCGCATGGCATAGTTTCAGAAGATAGTTATGATTGAAGCAGGCAAGAGTGTCTAATCCCATAAAACTGAAAAAATGAGGTTATGGCACATTACTAACATCGTTGTCTTCTCGTATGAGCATTGTTAGTAAAAATTATTTGTCCTTTGCCATCTGAGTAATGACCTTGGTAGTTTTGATGAGGTCAAGTGAGAGGTCGGAGGCTTCTTCCCACGTTGTCTTGAGATTTCACCTTCGTTGAGGATGGCTTGAACTTCGTCATGGGAGAAATGAGCCGGACAACAGACTTCGTCACATTTACAATTGTCTGTTCTCACACACGCGGATTAGGATTCATGTCGTAATTTGTTGGTTGTAATTACGTAGTTAATTTGGTAAGCCTATATAAAGTTGTTCCGTATGATGTTATCAGTTTATTCCGTCTTTGGTCAGGTTCCAAGGCAACAACAGCCAGATTTAATATTGCAAAAAAGTTTTGTTCCCTCCACTGATTTTTTTTTAAATTGTTGCCTGCTTTACAAAACGACTTCTGTGCTCTGATTAGCAGTCACATTTTCGAAAATCGTATGCGGGGTTCAGTGCTGACCGTCCCCCCTACTAAATGTAACGAACTTTGTGTTAATTCTCATGCTATTGTTTCAAATAACGTGACTTACGGGGATTTCCAAATATAATATCCATTTTCCGTTGCGTAGAATCTGTCCAAGTTGGGGGCATTGTGTAGCATTTTGTGATGTGCTGTTATTTACGGTGTGGAATCTTTACCTCCCCGCCCAGTTCTCAAGCCGAAGAACCGCCCCCCCTCCTTACGTGAGTACTTATTCAGCATATTTCAAGCAACCCCCCATATCTGGAGGCATTCATCAACATCCGAAACTAGAGGACGCGCTAGGCCGTAGTGACAGAGGAACACTCATGAGGGAAAACAGAGGACGATATGCAGCGTATTGATTTTGTGTTGATGGTTGCATAACTGTGCCTGCATTGTGGTAATCATTACCAAGCTTTCTGTATGAGCAGGAAGCTAAGGACTTCGTGAATCGATTGCTGCTAAGGGGAAGCTGATATTCAATGAACGTGTGTACCAGAGGGGAGATACGGTGACTACACCGAAGCGAATCACAGCGCTTCTAGATACTGTTTCCCTAGCTTGGGTCTGTGTCCTTGGCTGCATGGCTTGTGCAGACTGAAACTGGGTGTAGTTTCCGATGTGACGGAGTTGAGACATTGCAAGTCTGCTGGTCGGAAGAATTGGACAGTGTTGCTGGCAGTCTGTGCTAAGTGGTACGGTATGTGACAATGTTTTTAATAAAAGGCGTTACTGGTAAAGACGTATTCTGTCAGGTAATGGGTTCACGTGGCATTGACTCGTAGGTTACCTTTACAACCGACAGGTCGCGTCAGAGATGTGTCACGAGCGGCGATGATCGTTCACAGTAGGTGCGGTTTTTACTGGTTTCTGGTTGTGGCGAGGCTCTTACACTGACGTGAAAGAAGCAGGGGGCAAGAGCACGTAGTTACGTGGCGTAGTATCCAGTGGGAGTGGTCAATCGAGCAGTTGTAAATAAGGTGTGACGATTGTTATATGTGGAACAGGTAGTGTAGATCACGAATATATATTTGAGAAAGCTCGAAAACCCTACGTTTTGACGTTCAGTCGTGTTCTTGGTTTGTTCGTGAGCGTCAGGTGTCTCAACCTCACATCTGAAGAGTGGCGTCATGGTAGCAAACAGGTGTGGGAGCGTGCTGTGAAACGTTACAGACATGGAGGTACATTTAATTTAGGCAGGATTATCATATTGATGTAAAAATACAGTCCAGGTGAAGTTAAGCAGGTCACAAATAATTGCTCCCGAGAGTTTATCAACACCAAAAGCAGGAAGTAAAATATAGAAACAGTCATAAATCAGTGTGCGTTTTGGCTTTTTAACTACGGAGAGGCCTTAATAATTATTGTTTTTAGTACCTTTTTTGCTTTCGAAGAAACTGTCGACGTTTCGGGTAAACTAAATTAACCCCCATCCTCTTTTACGTTCCGGAAATGGACCGCGCCACATTGTTTCAAAAGTTAAACTTGAATGTGAAGAAGTTTGTGTGAGGAAATAACAGTAAAATAAAGTAGCTCTTACTGAGATATTTATTAAATTTCTTTCGTTCAGAACTGACAAAATTTTAACTGAGGTGAATTCACCATCTTTGATAAGGAAGATGATTATTACCGAAATTCTTTATTACCGTATAAAGTTATTTGACTATTGTGTCAAAACCTCTGTCATTCTTCCCTGGCCTCCTGTAACCTTTAGTATTCATCCACACTGCACCCTGTTCTGTTATGTGTATCTTTCTTCACATGTACTCATTAGAGATTAATTTAAATCCTAATATTCTATTCTTTTCTTTTGTCTGTGTGTAATGTTTCATGTGACTATTATTCCATGGTTTTTCTTGCAGTGTTTTAGCAGAGACTTTACACATTATGTGATCTGCTTACATCTTTCAGATCATATAATTGTTTAAGACAAAGAAATTTTATTTTAATAGACATTTTATTTATTTAGATAAAATTCTGTTTTATTTTAAAAGTGAATAGGCAGAATTTTCTCATGATTTTACTCTTGACTGGCATAAAAAATAGGTATCTTTTCGATTAAACATGGTTAGTGTAGCGAGATGTGACATTTATTGTAGGTTCAAGATCGCCTGGAGGATAAATTGAGCACAGCGCAACCAGTGGGAACTGGCAACATTGACCTTGTAGGTGATGTTGTCAAGAAGTGTGAAGTGACAAGAAATAAGGATGCACAGGAGTTGGCTAACATACTGAAAAATTCTCATTTCAAGGTAATTTTATGTTTTATAGAATGCAGGCTTTATAAAGGATATCCTTGTCAAGGTCTTTATAGCTTTAGTGTGTGATTGGGGGGGTGTAAATATAGGATTTTCTAAACCATATGCACTAGAGCTGTAATTGTTGGCACAGGGATCTGCCATAGTTAGATGTAAAAATGCTGAATTTTGTATATTATTGCATGCTGTGTATACTGTATTTGTTATTTTATAAAACAATTATAGCTTTTGCAGGAACCACAAGTCTCACATGTTACAAAATGTATAATGTAAGTTTATATCATCTGAAGCTTTCACTACAGCCAATATTAGTAAAGTCTTTTTGGTCTAAGAGCCATGTTGGCGAATGCGAGCCTTGAATACAGGCTCAGGGACATTGTGGTTGAACTGTTGTATCAATCCTGATGATGGGAATGGGGCTGGTTCCTGAAATGTCAATTTTTGACGAACCGATAAAGCTGATGATCCAAGAAGATCATATTAATGTAACGTTGTTGCCTTCTTTCTGATTATTCCAGGCACTGTTGGAGTCACATGACGTAGTGGCGGAAAAGAGTTACGAACACAGTCCTCAACAAGAACCTGAGTTACCAGCTTTTGAGCTTCCTGTTAACGGGATGACAGCTGATGCCATTAGAATTGTGGGACTTCGCAAGAGTCCCAATGAACCGCTGGTAAAATTTGATATCACTGATTCTATTTTTAGTTTCTGGGAAGTATATGTTGTAAAATTATTTAATGATTATTTCATTAAATATTTAAGGTGAAGGTAAGTACTAAGTTTGGGACTGTTACGTGTCGTACAGTTTACACTCCCCTGCAATTTACTCTGTTCTTCATCTGTCTCCAGAAAAGTATAAATATGAGATTTATGTCTAGTTTAAATAATTCACAGGAATTTAGGGAGATGCATTTTGATGTCTGAATTACTTCATTTAGAGCACACTTTTTCACTTTTGATTTTATTTATTATTTTTTACCAGGTATTGTTTTCTAAGCTTGAAGTTCTTTGTTTTCAGGGACTGACAGTGCAAGTTGACGAGTCTGGAAACCTGGTGATAGCTCGCATTCTGGGCGGTGGGATGATTGACCGCCAAGGTTTATTGCACATCGGTGATACAATCCTGGAAGTAAATGGAGTTCCTGTTTCTTCACCAGAAGACCTCCAGATCCAAATCTCAAAAGCTAAAGAGTCTGTTGCTTTGAAGATTGGTCCAAGCTTTGAAGATACACACGGACATCTGGATGGTGGCCAGGTACAGTTAATTACATATAATTTACATGGCTCAGTTTGAACTCTTCTGTATGTTGAAAGAAGTTTTATATACAATTATATCTGATACTTAGTACACTTCTTCTTCTATGGCTCTCTGGTCCGTATTCGGTCCATGGCCTCCTCATTTCTCCTCTTCCATTCGGTCCTCTGTTAGGTCCGTCTGTCTGAGGCTTTGATTGAGGTTTCGAAACATCTTCCTTTTTACGGTGCAAGGTTGTTAGCCTTGCGACCAACCCCCAACCTGGAGACCAGGGTACCTGTCTTAGTCTGACCTCTCCCCCTTGACCAATCTGGCTAGGGAAGCCCTACCAGTAGCTATGGGGTCACTGAGGTACTCAAGCCCCACCACCATGACAACGTGCAGGTACCATTAAGTGGGGTGGAATGAATTAAACACCTTTAATATTGAAATGTGATTGTTACTTGCATTTCAGTGCTACATGAGAGCCCTGTTCAGTTATAATGCAGCAGAAGACTCCTTGTTACCATGTAAAGAGATTGGTTTAACCTTCAAACATGGCGACATCCTGCAGGTAATGTGTAATTATTGAGTATGTGTGCTGCCAGTAGAGTAACCATTTTATTCTGTTAAGGTACATAAAGTGTCTGGTTTACTGAGCGTTTATAAATGTGGAAAAACGCAAAGTTAGGGATAAGACACGTGACCTTTAACAAAACAATGATTGTTACAGATAGTCAATCAGAAGGATCCAAACTGGTGGCAAGCAAAGAAAGTTGGCTCTAATGGTCCAGCTGGTCTGATTCCTTCCCAAGAGCTAGAAGAGAGGCGTAAAGCATTTGTGAAACCAGAGGCGGACTATGTCCATAAGATCAGCATTTGTGGAACGAGGGTATGGTAGATCAGTTTGTAGGGATAGAATTTTATTTGTAGCTTAAACCTATAAGATTGATAATAATGAAAAAATGGTGTATTTGACTAGGTCTCAATCAAAATAAAAATTACCCAGCAGCTTATGATGTAGGTACCAAGTACCAAAATTATTTGAAAATTGTTTAGTACTTCTGGAGATGAAGCCTGTAAGTGGAAGAACAAATTCTTTCTGTTGTTCATTCATTTTATCCACTTCTTGCACAGAGCTCAAAAATTATCGTAGGACAACAACATAGATATTACAATTTTTAATTCTTTTTGTTGTTTAGATATCAAAGAAGAAGAGAAAAACCATGTATCAGTCAAAATCAAATAGTGAGTTTGACAAAGCAGAGCTTTTGCTCTATGAGGAAGTGACGCGCATGCCTCCTTTCAAAAGAAGGACATTGGCTCTGATTGGATCACAAGGTGTTGGGCGTAGAACGTTAAAGAACCGACTGATCAACAGTGATCCAGACAAATTTGGTGGAGTTGTACCTTGTAAGTTGCAAAGTTTATAAGAGAAAATGACTTCTTACTTTTACTTGCATTGTTTATGTTCAGATCTTGTCAGACATCTCCTGTTTGTAAACAACAAAGCACCCTGCAAGGATAAAGGTTCACTTCCCCACCTGCCCCTCTGTCAAAGCTTTCTCAAGCGTGATGCGGCAGATTTATCTGACAGATGCTATAATGGGACCTTGTGTTTCTTTTGTTGTTAATTATGCCATCTGAAATTCTGTTCATATAAATGCTAAATAAAGGAACCTTTATTGACTGAAAATATTTGAATTTGACTTTCGTTATCAAAGTTTAAGAGTGGGAAATTCAAAAGTGTGTCACATCCCTTTTATGTTTCTTGTAGCCTTATTACTGAACTTTTTGGTTTATCATTTATTTTATTATAGTCACTTCTCGACCTCCACGAGTGCTTGAAGAAAATGGCCGTGGATATTGGTTCATTGACCGCGAAACAATGGAAGAGGAGATACGAGAGCATAAGTTTCTGGAATATGGAGACCATAATGGACACTTGTATGGCTCAAAACTGGACTCAATTCGTGATGTTATTCGTCAGGGAAAAATGTGTGTCCTAGATTGTAGTCCAGCTGTGAGTACACATCCTCAAATTACATTAATGGATTAGAACTCTTAGAGCATCTGTCATTATAGTTTTTATTGTTTTGTACTGTACAGGCTTGAGATTCAATGTAACCAGTCTATCAAGTCTGTGAAGAAGAAATATTTAGAAGCTTGTTCTTTTATGATAGCAGAAGATTCATTATTATGTTCACAAGAGTCTGTTGCAGAACCCTATTCTGAAGCATTTGAATCCAGTCCACATCCTTATACTGTTTGGTTAAGATCCATCACAGTATTTTCCTATCTGTGCTTTGGTCTCCAAAGTGTTTTCTTTCCTTCATGGGGTTTGGCATAAATTTTTTGTATGCGTGTCTCATCTCCTCTATATATATGATCATCTAAACATCTTTGAATTTGTTATACTAATAAAGGTATAATTTATTGAAGCTCCTCATTATGCAATTTTTACTTCCTTTGCCACAGGTTCAAATATTCTCAACATTCCTTCAGATTCAGTATGAACAGGAAAATATGTAATCTGTAAGGATATTCCATGTACAGGAACGTTGACATTGCTCTGGGACTGCTTTATATTAAGCTTCTATTAAAAAACCGACTAAATATTGTTACTTATCCCTGTGCATTTCAAGTTCTTCATAACAGTAATTGGACTTGCAGCAGATGGATTTACATGTAAAGGAAATTATGTTTTTTGATTGTCATAATTGATTGAATCTTCTGTACAATGCTGTCTTTTATTATGCATTGGATATTTCTGACATTGATACACTACGCTAATTCCACGTACCTTTTCTTCGTGTTGCGTCCTTAAAAATGTTCTATAGATATTTAAAATCTAGTTTTGCGTGTTGGAAGATGAGGATTATGCCAAGCTGTTGATGTCGTTTCATGATTTTTTGTCCACATCATTTCTTACATTGTAACATCTGTGATTTGCTCCACTTTTGTTGTAAATTTAAAAAAAAAGTATGAATTATGTGATGAATGCAGATATTTTAGCTAATGAAATTTACATAATTTTTCTTTTAAGGCCTTGAAGATACTCCACAACTCTTCTGAGTTTATGCCATATGTAATATTCATAGCTGCTCCTGGGATGGAACAGTTGAAACATCTGTATGGTATTGGCCGCTCGATTGGATCGTCCAGTAGGAATCTTACTGTGAGTGCCTAGTTGCTCAATGTTGCAAGATATTTTCTTTTTGTTGTGCTTTCAGAATTGTTGTGCAGTGTGACATATAGCCTTTGTTGTAGTAATTTTATGTGAAATTTAATTGTTATATCTCAGATCCTTTGCATCTCTGTTATGTGAATTATATAATATTATCATCTTCCTTTTCATTGACTGGCATTGCCTGAATCCTGTATCTGTCCCAATTTCTCATCCATGTTCTAGAGAAAACCACTTTTTCATGTTTCCTGTAAACTTGTCATAAATGTACAGTATTTGAACCAGTTAATCATTAATAAAAGCAAGCAGACCAAATGTGGGAAGTAGATGGAAAACCAGTTTGGATCTGCATTAGTATGGTATTCTTTTGTTCTTTTCAAGGTGGGTGTTTTGTTTTGTGGAATGTGATGATGCATAGGGTAGCGTTAATTGTTGTATATTTATGTTGCATGTATAGTTTGATCGAGCCAGTTCTATAAGGTACAGTTCACGTCGAGCACGGACACTGGAGTCTCTTGCTTCTTTGTATGAAGTAAGTACTGCTTCGCTTTTAAATATCATATCGTTTGATGTTCTTTTAAACAGCTTTTTCTTTCATTTCATTGTCATATATGTAGATAACTATCACACAAAATTTGAGCAGTGAATTGCAAATGGCTAGTCTCCAATAAAGTAATTATCAATCAGTCAAGAAAAGGAAAAACATCAGAAATTGGTATTCATAATGATTTCTTACATAATTATTTATGTAACAGTATACAGTGACTTTATGTGGAGCTCCCATTTGAGTGTGTCTACACTGAATTAAAATGTTTAATCTGTAATTGAGTTCATCCAATTGGTAGTTCCAGGAAACTGATTTCCATTCAGGATTCAGCATAAACATCGGAGGCATTCTGCAAATATCCAAGTTACATTTTCCATTTCTCAACTCTTTTACCTTAGTAAAGATGTATATTAAACAGAATATTTTTTCAACAAGTATTTATCTTCAAAGAAATGGATCTGTTTTTTATAAGACATTTTATGACCTTAAAATGACTAATTTTTTTATGAGTACCTAAAAGCTTTGTCTTTAAAAAATACCTATACCTTTCATCACCTGCATCGTTGTGCTGTGTTCGTTCATATGCATAAATTTTAATTATACTTAAACTGAATGTCATTATTAAAATTTATTGACTTTACTTGGGCTCTTTATATTTTGATTGCTGCAAAGTTTTCAGATTAATGAAAACAGACTGATATATGGCGTACAAATCTTGCATCTTGTTTTCAGGAAGAGGACCTTCATCAGACGGTGGAAGAAAGTGCATGCTTACAACGAACTTATGAGAAGTACATTGATCTTGTGGTAGTAAATGAAGACTTCGATGTAACATTCCGCAAAGTGGCTGAAGCACTTGAGGCTCTAAGCACAGAACATCAGTGGGTTCCCGTTAACTGGGTTTACTAATGATTTACTGGATCAGTATCATAAGAATGTATGGAATTCTGGTATGTAGGACAATTTTGAAGCCTAGAATATCCACAGTTATAGTATCTTTATGACTTAATAGTTTACAAGATTGAATACACACACACACACGGTGACTGTGCCATTTATTATCTATTGTCATTGCTGATTTTATGAAATTGACAACTGATAAATTGTGCAGTCAGTCCAGTTATGACGGCAGCAAAGTTAAATATTATTATGTAGTGAAAACAAAACAATTGAGTCAAGAGGGAATTGAATTTGTGTATTAACTACAGTTTCTTCTTGATAATGGATCTTCATATTTAACATGGATTATATTATTTATGTGTTTGCCACAACTAGGAATTAGTATTTCAGCCAAATTATTATTTTTCTCGACAGACTGTTATTGGTTTTAATGGCTAACAGTGTACCCCGCATATTTTAAGATTCTGAAAGATGTCTGCCTATCCCATAATATAGTTGTACTTTGTAATGAGGAACTCGTTTGTGATTACGGTAACAGAAACGCATTCTGATTGTTAGACAGTGTTCATGTTAGATTGCCGTGTGTGTTGTCGTGGTTCTGTTACTACCGTATTCTCCACGGCCTTGAGAATATATACATCAATCAGTGAATGAGCTTTACCACTTCAGATTAAAAATGGAAATTGTGAGTTGTTAATTTGAATGTATCGCCACTTTGAACCAATGGATAATTTAAAAGCACATGCTCAAAAAATACAATTTATAAAACATTAATGTAGGTTGTGTCCCATAAAGTTATGGCAGTGTTTTCAAGTTGGCTCTTTTGCAATATTTAACGCTAGAAACATGAATGAAACACAGAACAAATGAAAGACATGAAACTTTATATGTGTCTGTGAATTTCAGTGAATCCCAATTGTCACTCTGCAGACGCCCATTAGGCTTTTACTTTCGCTACACACGAGTGAGAACACGACAGTTACAAACCCAACTTTGTGTCTCACATCTTTACTTCAAATGGTCTATGTCATCAGTATTCACACTATATAAATAACACTTGTTTCACGTGATCCGTAGTGCTGGGGTTTCCAAATTTGTTGTGCCTGGTACTCCCAAAGAAGTTAAAAGTCTGGTACCTCATGCAAAGGGAACTGGAAAATACACAACCCACATTTCTGTTGTTGCTGGAAAAGAAAATGCATGGTATAGCTCAGTTATATTAATTTTAAACATGGAAAGTGTGTGAATTCGTTTTAAAATGGTTTGTGACCCAGGTTTGCTCAGAGCTAAGTATAGATATGAATGAGGATTTATGGCACCCTTAGAAAACATCTCTGGTTGCCCAAAGGATACTTGTACCACAATGTAAGAATTGCTGGTTTAGCATATTAATATCTGGAGATTAAGGTGGCCATTCAGACCTTCACTTTCCTGGGAAAAGCTCATTTAGATCTGCATTAATGAAGGCTTTATAGCTAAATGTTGCTTCTTGAAGCTGAAAGATTGCTCTGTCATCTTCATTCTGTGAAGTTCCAGCATATCCAGAGATTGAGAGTGCAAGTTTAAATTAGAATTTTTCAGGATGGTGGATTGGAAGAGGAGGTCCAAAGCTGGCCACCTCGGTCCCTGTGCAATATACCATAGTTCTAATGTAGAGTTGTATAAAACAAGTGAAAACTAATATTATGGTACATTTGTAGCAATGTGTCAGAAATGTATTTTAGACACCAGATTTTTTCAAGAACATAGATAAACGTTTTTAACAGTCTGTCTTCAATTTCACATTTCTGGCATTTACTTGCTACAAAATGTCAAAACATGAAAATCTTTGTATAACTAGGATGAACTGGTTTATGTAGTAGAACCTGTTTCTGCTCTTTGATTTGCAAAATTAACATATACTGATGTAATTTATCATACTAAGTATGGCATTATCAGACATCAGTATTCACTGATTACAACATGACTAGACATCACTTATAGATAACATGATCTTAAATAACTGTTGTATGGGAGCAGAAGTTTTTAATTGATTATTTTTGTTTAGTTCAGCTTTTGTGATTCTAAAACACTGAGGGAACAAAAGGGAGATTTTAATTAAGTGGATTAATCCTTCAGAATCCTAAAATTCACTGTTCCAAGAATGAGTGCATTTTTATATTACTTCTGATTAACTTATTGATCCCAGTTTCAGTATAGTTAGTGTGTGAAAGAATGTGTTTGGTTTTATCCAGTTTATATTAATTTTCTGTTGCCAGTCAAATGATAATTGAATCCCAGTGTGTGATAGTAAGGACAGAAGGCAGGTTTATTTTCTCCATTCTTCAACCGTTAAATGTGAGAATAGATCTCTTGGCCTTTGTCATGTAGTCTCATACAGATATTTTTCTCTCATTTGAAAGACTAATTTGTGGTGTACTTTTTTTTACTATATAATGCTTGCACTGTTTTAGTTTTATGCAAATCCACACTCTTATGATGCCCTCCTACAAAGATTTTTCTATACAAGCACTGTTATTATTTTTTTGTTTTCGTCTTTTTGTTTAATAGTTTATGAATGAAACATTTATTTACTGCCATTGCTAGCATAGTTTTTGTCATTACCACCAGGGACTGTTGCATGTAGCACTATAACAAATTATGGCTTCAGCGCTTCATGTTGTATCTGCTGTTGATCTTGGCACTGTGAAGTTCATATCATTTTCAAAATTTATTTTATTGTGTTTGTAGATGACTATTTTTTCAGCTCCAAAAATATAGTCTGCATGTGGCCTGTGTGTGTTTACTTTTTGATTTCAGTTGTTTGGTGGAGTAGTGAAGGCTGAGTTGTGACCCCAGTTCTTGGGTGGTAATTGCAAGTACAGTCTAACATTCATTGACTGCTTTACACTCTGCTATCGTAATAGTGAAATGTAAAATTGAATCTCCCCCCCAGCATCAACACTGCTCTTCAAAGTTGATTATGAAATATTACACTATATTCTTAATTCATCCATCCTTTCCCACATATTCTTGCCCTTATATTTGCACTTGACTAAGAAATGCCATTTGAAGGTCTTGGGCTCGAGGAAGGGAAAATCCCCATCTGCACCTTCCTGTGATAGAGAACGGGCAATGTGAATAGGCGGCTGACGTGGAGGGGGACCGAGCGGCTGCTGGGATAAGCAGCCAAGCCGGCTGGGCTGGGCAGGGCACTTTCTTGTCCAACCCATGAAGTGCCACCATGCCCTGTTAAGGGTCAAAGACAGAGGAGGAGGAGGAGCAGTAACTTCATTGATCATCTTCCATTGTTATTGGAGTCAAACCTGCTGTGTTATTACCTCCATCCAATTGAGTTAGCTTGAGCAAAATTGAAAGATATGTCAGAACAACAAACATATGTATGGGGTTTATGTGATAAGCGCAGTATGTTCCTTCCTGTGGTTGAGCCTGAATTGCAATGTCATTAGCTCTCATTTGGGTTACACATGCTCATCATATCCCAGTTCTTTTCCAGCACTTCTGAAAAATTAGAAGTTCCTGCCCATGTTTCATCAAGGGAAAAGTGACTTCCCTTTTGCTACAGAATCTCACATTTTAATAAAATACATAGACTTCCAGTCTGTGAATATCATTTAGGATTTGAAGCTATCATAACTGAATGTAATGAACAGCCAGTAAGTATGATTTTCAATCCAGTGTTGTTGAGACCATCTTGTTTAACACCATATTTACATGGCTGATTCCCCAAGACTTTATTGCTATAATATTGTCTTAACTGGTATCTTTATCTTACTCTCTTTGTGTTCCCAAACATAACCCACATCTTGCAGTGTATTCTGAAGCACATCTTTCTGCCAAGAGGCATTTCATCCTTGGCCTCACAGCTTTTGGTTGATGTAAAAGCTCTTAGTGGTTCAGAAAGTAATATACTTGTTAAACCTGTGTCCGCTTTTCTCTTGTTCAGCAGTGTTCTTATGGATGGTGAGGGTGATGCACCCTTGGGTTTATATTGTGTTTGCTTTATGATCCTTTCAGTTGTAAGATTTGAGACTGTGTGTAAATGGAAGACCTTTTATTTGCTCTGAGATTAACCAGTATCTTGAGGTCCTGCAGGCTAATCCTTTAGAGTAAACTAATTTAAAACATAAACCAACACTAATGAATATATTTTAATAACATCAGTTACTGACAAATATAACTATTTCACAAGACAAATATTACCATTTTTAGTGAGCACCACTAAGGAATGAATGCTATAACACAAGCAAAGCAAAAAAATTGGGGGGGGAGACTTAGTTTCCTTTGTAGTTTATCCCTCTATGGTGCTACTCACATGATTCTACTGTTACATGTTCTCCTTAGACTTTGCTACTCCACTTGACAGTTCTAATCTTAGCATTTGAAATACAGAATTTGTGTTGTAAGACCTAAATAACAATTGTGCCTAATATATCAGAGTATAAATTTTTTGGTTGTATTTACTTGTTGGGTTTGGTAACCAGTGTTGCAGTGTATCAATAGTCTGTGTTCTTATACCAGTTGTGAAAACTTAAATAATCAGTCCTGATAAATGAGTGACAATTTCTGAAAAGAACCAAAAATATGTGTCCTACTTTATTGTCAGGAAATAAAATGTTCTTATTACAAGTTACGTCAAATTTGTGACATCCCATTTGTGATAGAGCTGCAAGTATGGTAATAGGTTGACAATTTCTTTGTCTGTGAACACTATAAATTACAATTTTATTATATTCATTCAGGTTTTGTTTGTGCTAGATGATCTCTGCTGTTGGAATAAAGGCAGCTTTGGAAATATATAAATGATGACATTAATAGATGATAGTGTGACATTGGTTTTTGTGGGTTGGTTCTGTCATATATTGATAGTTGTCCAATGTTTTGACAAATATTGGATGGCTGTCAACATTCAACCTGGCCTGTCCCTGAAAAATGAAGTTACACGTATAATTTTAGTCGCAAAAGCTTAACGATAAGAATTTGTAGTTGACTATTGTGTTACAATATACTTTATCTGAAGACAGTCATGCATAAAACTTGCTTTTACTATAATAAAGTCATGTATATACCAAGTACGAATAAGTACATAATTTCATCCAATTACAAATTTATTTGAAAATGTATATGATATAAACTGATATGCGGCTGTATTACAAGTGGCAATTTAAAACAATGTATCATAAGATGCACATGCGGTCCGTAGTCTTTGATGCTTCTTCACCATAATTTGTGCAAAGAATAACTAGTTTGTTAGGTGAAGGTGTGTGACAGTAATGTCTGCCACCTTTATGTTACACTAACCCGTCCATGTGTTCAGGGAAAACCATGATCTGAGTATTGAATAAATGTCTTATTGTTATTGTATAGTTTATGTTGTTGCAGCACAGATGACCAGAATACATATAGAGTATTAAAATTGTGTGAACTTACTGTTACTTATTGATAATCAAGGTGTACAATTAATATTAATGTGTCATGCATTAGTTTTATAGAACTGATATGTAGTCTGTTTAAGTATTGTCACAGAGTAAATGGAAAGTATATGTAGGTAGAAAGGTAGATAATATTTTCATGCAGGGATTATGAATACCTTTGGCAATTATAAGCTACATTCAGGATGCATAAAATCAGCTTGCTCAACAGATGTGTTTATATTTTAAATCTGGATAGTTTTAATTAGTTTCACTTTAAAATAATTTCATTTAAAAGTGTTAATATAAATTGTGTTTGCCAGATAATGTTCTGCAAGCTGTTATGGACCTTGGATGCAGCAAACTTGTGTGGTGCATCACATTTTTATAACATATCAGACCATTTTAGTTATTTTCTATTTGAAAATAATTTACAGTTTTGTATTAATAAATGAATATGTGGTGTTTATGAAAACTGATACATGCACCATCTTATTTCATATTAAATTGTTTGAGTATTTTACTTCATTGTACAACAATTTTAAGTATAATAAGTAATATTCTTGACCACAGTATTCTTGAGTATTCTTTTACCATTAATAGAAGAAGTTCTTTACAATTATTGCAGCAGAAAGGACTCTTGAAGCATTTCCAAGTCCAACTTTTTTCAGTCCCATATTTATCTGATTTGCAAAAGCAGGAGTTCCAGATTTTAGATGAGATACTGTTAACTTCAGAACATTTAACACATGGAGCAGGAAACTGGTTATGATTTCCAGCTGTTCATGGGAGGTATTTCCATTAAATATTTCATATTTGTGTGATATTCTATAAATGATTTTGCAAAGAAATTAATGAAATTTATCATATCTGATGTTTGGCTGTTACATTATCTTGGCATGTGAAAAAATTGAGTCCTTATGCAAAATAAAGATGTGGATGTGCATTTAAATAAGTCACAGCTTGTTTTCAACACTGATTTGTTTAATTAACTTGAAAGTTAAATAAATTATGTTCTTTCGGACATAATGGAACATTTGATACCTACAAGTTACAGTATGAGTACTGTGATGGAAGGTTTGAGGTGTTATGAAACTAAATATGAAAAATTGAGATTTTAACAGGCACGGATCTGAAAGATACAGACATTCTTCTGATTAACATCTAGGCTGGTCTGAAGGAAGTTTTTTCTCAAGGTATGCAGTAACAAAAATGAAATATCAAAATAGACTTATTTAAAAACACAACATTAGGATAAAGCTTTCCAGCAAGCAGCAAGGAGATTTTCTTATCATGTTAGGTAAGTACAACATACTGTTTCATGACATATAAGAGTGGATTTATTTTAACTTTCTGCATATAAGGTGAATTAGAAGTGTTGAAGATGTAAGTTTCTCTGTTGTGACCTTTAATAAGGGTTGTCTCATTTTGTGGCACGGTTTTATAAAGCAATTCTACACAATTGTTTTTACATTATTCAGTAATGATCCTAGTGTTTGATTCTATATAATTCAACTTACTGACAGCATGGTTAAATAAACCATAAATAAGGATTGACCCAGTCTGAGCAACAGGAAATCGATATCCCTTATGTGGTTTTAGTGAGTGTCAAATATTGAGATGATTGCAAGGATTTAGAATGAAGTCATCTATTTTACCACACTGCAACACCAGCATTTGTGTGAAGGGGCTGAGGAACAGAATGAAAACCAACAATTGGGTCACCAGGCTGTGTTTATTTTAATCTGATGTTGAAGCATTAAAGTACATTAATTTAGGTTGACAAGTTGATCTTGTCACTTGCCGGCTTTCAGCACGTGCTGCTGGAAAAACGTGAGTTGGTATTATGTTTATAGAGTAATGCTTCTGTCGGGAAAACGTTCTAGGACTTGGCTTCGAGTCATCCAACTCTAGCTGGGAGCCTGGAAATGGCCATATGGACCGAGCAACGGTAAAATGCTCTTGCTACGCATTGCCTTCGCGTTTTTTTTTTTTTTTACGTTTCCGCTGTTCTCTTTGAAGGACATTGGCTAACAGACGGGGTGTTTAGACCATATGCGGGGAGGTGTGGTTGTAGTTTATGTTGGTAATAATATGTGGTTTGGAAGTGTAAGATAAAGCTTTAAAGGCTCTGAATATGATTTCTGTACGTGGGTTTTGTGATTTGAATGTTTTTTCAAATGGTGAGAATAAGACATCACTGAAGAGTACATGCCAAGCATTGCTGGATTGTAAGTCAATATATAATATACGTTGAAACATAACCTTATTTTACCTCTGAACATGTGTTTTGTACGTGGATTTTGTGATTTGAATGTTTGTTCGAATGGTGAGAATAAGACCACTGAAGAGTACATGCCAGCATTGCTGGATTATAAGTGAACATATAATATACGTTTAAACATAACCTTATTTCACCTTTAAATTGATCCTTCTGATTTAAAAATGTGTTATGAAGTTTTCTCTGGCCTAAGCATCAGTTCGTGAAAGCGTATAGGAGACATGGAAATAATCTTAAGCGCTAGATGGGAAAAAGTGGTCAGCTTCACATTGGCCACTCACCCTAATTGAAAGAGCCAAGTACCTATTGGATATGATGATAGAATGGCTTCAGATCTGGTCTGTATGTGAGGGCAAAGAGAGAAATGCCAACCCCACTATGGAATTGAAACATAGTCATCTAGTCTGTAGCCAGTCATTTGTATTTTTTTGTTCTGTACAATCTTATTTTCCTCATTTATTAAAATTCATGTTATCTTTGGTTCAGTTATATGAATTGTTACAAATAGAGCTGCCATTCTCTGCAAATCTAAAACTTCTTGACGATGGTGAAGAGTCATTTGAATAAAAATTTCCTTGGATATTATCCATCGTCTAGTAAAATATAAAATATATTATATTAAAATATAATATATATTTTATATTTTATTCAAATGCCATTCTCATGTCTTTTCAATGTTTGCAAGTGTGAGTACGTTGTCTTTGTCAACAACTTGTCAGATATTAAGCCCATAGCCCATTGTTCCCAAGCACCATCAATATTTGTTTGTCCATTTTGGGTGAGAGACCAAGTTTAATGCCCATATATAATAATAGGTAAAATTTTAATTTCATTTACTTTGATCTTCAGGTTTTGAGATACAAGATGGGAGGACAACATTTTACACTTAAGTCATACAGAAGTTGTTTACGTATGATGAGCTGATGTTGGGCTGAATGTTTTATTGCATGTAGTCATGTGTGGATGAGCAAAGTTTTCTGTGTGCATGCAGTAATTTGAAAGTGTATGTGAAAATGTTAAATAACATCTTTACAGCTCTTTACTGTCATTCATGGATGGTTCATTCATATTACGAAGGAATGTAAACCAAAATGCACGTAGTTTGTATTGGTGTATAAAGATCTATTGTAATATGAGTTGTTTCGTTTTGAACATCAGTAGGATATCGGACAGTAGCAATAAACAGTATCTTCAATGGATCTGTTTTTGACACAAAGAAGAAAAAGAAGAAGGGTGAAATGCAAGAGAAAGGAGATGTAGTTCCTCCTCCTGCCAATCAAGACATAATAAAGGTTAGTATATATTAAGGTGTATTATTAAAAGTGAAGTAATACATTTGTGTGTAAGCATGCTGGGGATGCCAGTCAGTGCAGTGTAAATAGTTAAGATATTGATAAGAAAAGTATATTGACATGCTAATCCTTTGTAGAATGAAATTAGTCATTAGTAAGTTTTGAGGTTCTCACAGTTTGTGAGTATGAAGATAGCTGTCTTCTGGGTTGTATCACTGTGTAGTCAGGTGGAACTGCATGGCTCTACAACCCAGGAGACAGCCATCTTCAAAATTAGTAATTTAATATAAAACTGAAACTTGGCAAAGGGGCATCTTGTCACAATTTAAGAGATTCCACTGTTGCAGAGTTGTAGACAGGAATGTAAGAAGTGTTTTTTGGAACTCTTGTTTTAGTGTCCACCCTAACATTGCTAAGTAAATGTTATCAGTGGATAAATGTCTGTTTAGATCATGTACATTTGTGTGAGCAGATTTCAAGGGATTTCTAGGATGAAGAGTAATAGTCAAGTATTACATTTGCATGGTTAAAATTTGAAGATGAATTTGATGTTTAAGATACATTGTATATAGCTTTATAATTTTACTTTTGTTTTGCATTATGGAAGAGGTGGCCAGTAATCAGAAAATGTGTCTGTTGTGGGACACCTTGTATTAGATATGTGATAAAGTACACATTGGTCCTTTATTCTGACTACTGTAAATGTAGTATTTATTGTAGTTTTTTTATTTTTCAGGAATTTAAAGGGAAACTGGATATATATGAACGGTTGACAGTATCTTTTTCTACTCAGTTGCAAGCTCACAAATTGGTGAGTTCTGGTATCAGATATCACATATAAACATTTTGTGAAAAGTTTCAGGTTTCATAGATGGTTCTTATTGGAGTTACTGGAAATTTTATCTGTTGGGTAGACACCTCTAGCTTCAAGTGGGAGATTGATTCTAAAAGATTAATTTGAAAAAATATCAAGCAACTGGCAGTATTCCACTTTGTGTGGGGGGACTGAGGAATACTATATAAAACCTCAGTCATGATAGCCTATCTTTAGACCAAGATCTGAATGTGAGACCTGAATACAAAAAAAAAAAGGTTTTACTCTGACCGTGATGCTCAGTGATAGGTATTAAAAATTGTAAGAAACTTATAAAAGCAATCAGAAACACACCTTCAACAAAGTTAGCATTAAAACATGCAGTCAGTACCTTAATCTTGAAAGCAGCAGTGTACAGTCTGAACTGTTACTGTCATGATATCTCTTATGATTATAGCTGCTGTTTGTCACATTGCCCAAAATGATATCATAACACTTCTTTAACTTTTGTTTCTAGAGCCAGTCTGTCAATGCAAAGATGTACAGCATTCTGGCAGTTATTCCCACAACTCAAGTTGCATTTCAGGTATGTTTTCAAATAATTGTATCTTTCAGCAACAAGATATGCATGTTAGTTTTTATTTTATTGTTCCTTCATTTTTAATATTTGTGATGTTTAAATAGAGAAGCTTATGTAGTGGTAGAAGTTTACCAGTGTTTCAGAGGTACAAGCTGCCTTTTTCATCACCTCTGAAACTTGGGTAAACTTCTACCACACTACATGGCATAACATCTCAGAAAACAGTCATCTTCATATGTGCTGCCATGAGAGCCTGAAATCCCAGATAATAGTCACTCATCTGGTCAGGAAACTCCCATTATAGTAAACTCAGAGGTACATTAGTGTTCACAAGAGCCCACCACTACACTGCATCCTGAACCAGATGAATCCAGGCCACACCCTTATATATATATATATATGCAGTCTTATGGTTATATAAGGGCATTTCAGATGAACATTCTGCCTACATTTTCAGGGCACTTACAACACAACAACACTGAAGACAATTCTCTTATATCATGACTGTATTGATTGTTCTTTTTTATTATTCTAAAAGTGTGTGACACTGATCTAATATTCATAAGGGAGTACTGTCTTTGGATATTTTTGTTGCCAGGATAAAAATGGTACAAAGTGTTCTGGAGCTGGTTCTGTTTCAGTCCTCAGGAAAAGGAAGGGGTGCCTACTTTGTTGGGACCATTAAAAAGAAGTCCTTATTATTAGACCAAGTCCCAAAAAGATAAAAACTTTTCAGATACTGACTCTGTCCTTATGTAGAAAGATGTAATTAAGCATTACTTTGTGGGGCCCTGTGGATAAAGCTAGTCCATGTTACTAGTCTGAAAAGTTCAAAGATGGTATTCCTATAAAATGCATTATCCCGTTTATAAATAGCTCAGTTCATCTGTTCTTTTAATGAATATGTGATCTAATTGTGTTTCTTCTCCTGCATATAAATGGCCAGATTGACTCAAAAGTATGACATTTAATTGTTTTATATGTTTATAGTATGCCTGCTCAGTCATGGATGTAGACCTCATAACTTTTGATCCAGATGACATTGGGCTTGTTAAATGTAGCAGAAAGATGTACAACTTGGCTGTAGATCGAGGTCTCAGCTTTGAGATTATGTATATGCCAGCTATTAGAGATTCTACAGCCAGGAAAAACATAATTCAACTGGCTCACTTTTATCATGCTTTTGGAAAATCAAAGGTAGGAGATTGTTTTGCCCTAATTTATAACTTTTTAAAGTTTTACATTATTATAATCTTATTAAATATGTTTATAACCCTGAGGAGCACCTATTAATATTTCTAAATCTGTCTGTATCTGTGCATGCAAATTCTCAAGAATGGCTGAACTGATTTCCATGATATCCAATACTGGGGAATTCTTCTGAAATGTGTTGACATATTCAAATTTTGGTTGAAATCAAACATCAGTAACAAATAAGGAGACATACATGTGCTTCTTTGCACAGAAACAAGTGGGCAGGGAATTTTCAGAAAGGTCAGTGGTCAAATTCTGATGCAGGTGAATATTGGTGTATATTTCCTAACCTCTTTATGCTTATAGTATGAGAAAAATACACTTTCAAGATTATCCAGTCACATTGAATTCTGTGAAGTTCAATTAAGTGTCTCATGTACCATGCAAACTTCTGACAAAATATAAAATAAGCAAACAAACAAACAGAACCTCAGGTCTTACAAACAAACTATTAACACTATAAAAAAGACACTAGTGCCATACGTGTTTTAACCTCAAGAGGTCATTATCAGTGACAACAGGGAAATTAATTCATTTAATCAAAATGGTTTAAAATTGGTCTAAATATGGTTTAGATAACAAATCATGAAGTGGAGTTATTTTACAAAAGCATATCAAGCAACACTACACTAGATGTTGGTTTCACAGGAGTTGAACTTTGCACCTAGCTATTGATCTGATGGTCCAGTGGCCATAGCTGGTCTGCAGCGAGCTGTTGTTGCTTCGTCCGTACCTGTGAACTCCAACTCCACGCTTCATTTGTAAACTATAGAAATAATGGAAACCCCATAAGTCTACATTTTCCCCCTAAGAAAGGAATATAGGTTAAAAATACATATGAAAATTGTGAAGGAAGTTTTGTTCACACAAATGAGCAAATTTTTTACTCAAAACTCACGTACAATGTAATAAATTCACTTGTAGTAATGAGCAGTGTGGGTTGTGTGTTATTTCTATATTGTTGAATTACAGGGGTCTGCAAAAGCATTTGTCATTTGAACTGTGTTTTTTTGGGTGTTTTAATATATGTGTGTTTTGCTGTATATGTATTTTGTTGTCAGCATATAGTTATCTCCAGTGGAGCAGCTAATCCCTTCCATGTCAGAGGACCTTATGATGTGATTAATCTGTATCCTTCATATAACTTTCAAAGGACTTGTATTGAAATGCTACAGTGACACAATTGGTGTGGACTGAATTCATGTGACCCAGGATAGGGTCCAGTTGTGGGTTCTTGTGAACATAGTATCAAACACTGAAGCTTTGTAAAAGGTGGAGGACTTCTTGACCAGCTGAACGATTTACCACCTTCTTAATATGGATTCTGCTTCATGTGATTAAAAGAAAGAAATTATGTAGTGCAAAATAATATTCTTAATTCTCGTTAAAATTTTGAGAGAATAAATTCTGCAAGTAAATTAGTAATTCTGTCAGTAATTTACTTGTTTTACTAGATCCAAGGTTGTAATTGAAATAGGACTGCAGTAGTGTTACGATCATTGTCTTTCCACCAGCCTTTGTGTTTACTGCCTTAAGGCATGAAAGGAACTTTATCACAATAACCAGCATTTTGAATTAATTCTCAGACATTCCAGAAACAAATGTGAGGTGATGTGTAGGATTTGATGTGATGTTCTTGTTTATATGGGGATATGTTACCTTGATATCCGAAAGGGTGGGAGAATTCTTAACTTATGTGATGTAAACATCACAGTTGATTCTTTTTTCATACTGAAACTTACACAGCTTGAAATAACTGTGAACACATGTTTTCTGCTTTGATGACATTTGAAGTTGTGCCTTCATATTTTGATTTGAAATGCTTCCTTACCATACATTCAGAGGTCTTCTTTTTGGTCTAAGTGAAGAGCAGTCAAAATGTTCCATTACTACAGCTTGTAGATTTTTGTTAATAAAGGCTGGTGAGTACATTTAATGTATGTATGATATAGAATACATAGTTAGAGGATTGTGGCAATGATATTCTATCTATGGGAAAATTGGTATTTTTATAACGGAAACTGTACATTATTGTTTATCATTTTCAGCTGGTCGACGTCTTGGGAAGACAATAGTAATAGCGAATAAAGATGTAAATATTGATAAGGAACCTGGCAAAGATAATGTCATAGAGAATGATGAGGTGGATCAAGATTTTGAAGAACCAGTACAGAAGAAGTTACGACAGGATTGTCCAGAAAGCAGTATAGCACCAAATATTGACACATAAAGATTGTGCAATATAGTTAACCAGCTCTTTATTTGTTTTTGTTATTGTGTGTCAAATCACAGGATCGAACTGAATATTTCTAGTTAGGATTTTAAACTATTGTCATACATTGTGTTCACTCTTAATAGATGTGTAAAGTTTAATTACAATTCTAAAATACAACAATTTCTTGTTGTTAATCTGATCTTACTTTGAGCTAAAATCTTTTGCAGAATTTCCCTTTTATAAAACACCATTACTAACTAAGGAACCAAGGTGCAAGATGGCAAAGTGAGATAGAGTGCATTCTTTTTTTCTTTTGAAGCATGGTACATTTGACAGGTTCTGCATCTTTAGCTTGGGCATATGAAGGGTCTTTGGAATGTAAATAAATTCCGTTCTGTTCTTTGAGTAAAAATATAATGCCTGACAACTCTTCCAGGACAGACTCTTGGGATCTGAAACTGAAGGTCCAAACAACTAATTTACTTGAGACCATTCAAAGTTGACTTCCTTTATTATATGGTAGTTTAATTAATCATTTGTGCCATTTGTTGAATCTATGCTGATATCTTCTTTTGAAAGGGCATCCAATTTGTGTGTAATACTTTGTATGATTTCTGGTGTATCCAGAAGTCTGTTCCCTTTTAGGGTTCTTTTCAGTTCTGAGGAAGAAATATATCACTGGTTGCTGCTGTTGAGTTTATATTGTACTTGGAGAAGAGAAATGTGTGTAGAATTTTGGTTGGAAAGCTTGAAGGTAAGAGACCACTTTCAAAAATAGGCACAAATGTTATGGTAATATTAAAGTGATTTTTAAGTAAATAGTATGACTCAGTATAGGGACCAGAGGCAGGCTCTTGCATGTGTAGTAATTAACTTCTGTTTTCCACAAAATGTGAATTTCTTAATTAGCTGAGAATCTGCTCCATGAAGTGACAGCAAAAGTGATATTAATGTCAATTTCTGTCATAAGCAATAAATCAGGATGCTTCACTACAAAAATGGTTATGCATAATATATTCAGTACTTTGGAAATTGATTAGGGACCAGTATTGGTCTGTAGTTGTTAACAGAGGCACTTCTGGCTTCAATGCCTGCTTGTTTCCATAAAGTAGGAAATTGTTGCTGAGATAGGTTAAGATTAAAAATACATTTAAAAATCGATGTAAAATTGTCTGAACAAGGTTTATACCATTAGAAGGAATATCATAAAGTCCAACAGATTTAAGTGGCCATACATGTTGTAGGACTTTGCAAACATCTGAAGTGGAAGTAGGTGCCAAGGTCTGTAATAAAGAGGGGACATTTCATAAGTGAGAAATGTGACAAACTGAATTAGAGTGCTTAACAAAAGCCTTAGCAGCATTACAGGGTTTGGACAAAAATTCCCATCAGCCTCAAACCAAATGAAATTAATATTTGTCTCAAATGTAGGTACATATTTACAGAAATGTTTAGATTGTGGTTTAAGGTTTGCATTTATAGATTTCAGCCAAGAAAGTCTGTTAGACTTAATATTGGCTTTCACAAGCATTGATTTTTTAATTTATTGTATAAAAATAAAGGTTTTTCTTCTTAAAAGTATGTGTTTTATAAATTTTTATTCATAATACTTTAAAGAGCCAGGAAACTAAGTAGAAAACCTGGATCTTTTGCCAAAGTCACAGGGAATAATAGCCTTGTCCATAACTAAATGAACAGCAGCTATCAATACTGGTTGCATTGTACACCTTGATTCCCTGAAGCAAGCCTCATAAGAAATATGTTGACTTTGTATATTTTCAAAGGACAACAATAACAATTTAATTATTTAAGGCTTCATTCAGAGGAATTATATAATTTATTTTTATATTTCACCCTGTTGCAATACATGAATTTTTTCATGTGACTAATAACTGAATTAGAACGTAATGTGTTTGTAACATCTACAGACAGTTTTGGTTATTGATGTGGTAAAATAAAATTCTGGTTAGAAGGATATTCAATATTCCTGCATGAATGATTATTAAAATTAAATTTTAGTACATTGTAGTGTAGTCTGTTTTGGAGAGCAGTAAGATACGAACAGTGTTGAATATTATTCTCGCTACAAGGAGGGTAGTTTCAGGGTGGTATATTTTTCCTTAATTCAAGTTCAATACGCATCCAGTAGAGGCCAGCACATATAGAGGGTGAAGTATAGTTCGAAAGGAAACCGTGTGGCGATAGTATCGCCGATGAGCAAGGTGAATGGAGTTGGGAATTGATTATTTTGCTTGGTAATTAAGTACGTCCTGTGCATACAACATTTGTGAGGAAGTTGTGATGGTTGTAGTAAAGAACCCGTTTGTGTTTTATATTGTTTCTTGGCTTTGAACGTTTGCTGTGGCCTCGAAAAAATGTGCCAGTGCTGGGAACATTCTTCAACATCGTAAGTACATTTAATGACTGTCGAAAAAGAGTCGCTAAGAGGTAAAATGTGTAATTTAAATGCATATGAGAATTCTGCGTTCGTAATAACTTTCTCCGTTTTTGTATATTGTACATTAAATTCGGTGCTCTGTGTCGAAAGAAATGCTATACGGGTACTTTCCTAAATGCTATTACGCCATTGGTTGCTTGGGAATCCACATTTCTAATGATGGTATATAAGATATCACCTGATTGGTTGTATTTTCAGGACAAGTAAGGATAGAGGGTATTATTCTAACCAATTAGATCACAGGTCTTGAAAGTTATTTCGAGTATTTTACACGATTCTGTACGATATGTGGAAGGTGGAAGGTTTTCAATAAATTTGGAATTCTGCAGCGTTTTGACTTAGAAGAAGGAGTGGTGAGCATCTTTTACATACATTCCTACGTTTCCTTATATTCGTGTCTGTTCCTACAATACTGATAATGTCACCTTTGATCTTGCATAGGTTTGTAGTACAGGAAGTATTGAGCGTAGGCCTATTAAGGCACCCAAGCCGAAAGAGGACACTTCGAATGGCGTTCACAAAGTTCATTGTTCTCTCGGCCATAGTGTTATTATTGTAAAGTGTTTTTCGTTGTGGAAGATCGATTATGATTTGTAAGGTATGGAATAGAGTGGTTGGAATTGATTTTCGTGTGAACCGATATGTTTCTCGTTACGGGCAACTTAATTATAAGCTCACTGGAATCACTACTGACATTGCTGTCGTCAATTACCAATCGGCGAAACTGATGTTCGTCCGCGATACCTGTAATCCAAGAATGCGGGTGTGTGGGATTGATTATATTAATAATGCAAACCGTATTAAAGCGTTTTCCTTAATTTGTGAATGTTGTTTGTGCCTTGTCAATAAATTGTTTACTAATGTGGGGCATTTGAATTGCATGTTATCCTTAATGGTGAATTCTGAGGAATATGTAGAAAGAATATGTTCTTGCTTCAGAGGCCTATGGTACTAACTGGATATACACGGTCTTAAAAACCAACTTGTAGATTTGTATTATAACACTTTATACTTCATATTTGCTTTGGATCATAATGCATTGGATTCACTTCTGTATTTTTATTTGTGTGTATACATATTGCCTATATGTTATGGGTTCATATTAAAATTTACGTTAATTTGCATGTTAGTCAGAATTTAAGGTAACTTATGGCATGTAGGTAGTAATTATTTTAAAGCCTATCATCTTACAGTTATGGGAATGTGTCTGACCTTCGCTATGTAATTTTTGTTAATGTTGAATTGCTACTGTGACTGCTGTTGTTATTGTGTTTTTTTTACAGAGATCAAGTTTTTGAAAACATTTTGTGTTTGAATTGTGACACAAAGATAAGTGGGGCAGACTCAGTGTTTCATACAATAGTTTATTTTCCGTCTATACACAAACTTAAAATAATGTTGTTTAAAATTACTTAAAATTATAACATTCTCAGTAGATAATGTAACAAGATACAGTATCTACTGAGAATGTTATAATTTTAAGTAATTTTAAACAACATTATTTTAAGTTTGTGTATAGACGGAAAATAAACTATTGTATGAAACACTGAGTCTGCCCCACTTATCTTTGTGTCACAATTCAAACACAAAATGTTTTCAAAAACTTGATCTCTGTAAAAAAAACACAATAACAACAGCAGTCACAGTAGCAATTCAACATGTGTTTCATATTTATACCTTAGTATATAGCAGTCTCTATTTCAGAAATTTTTTTCAAGTGGAAGAATTAATTTACTTGTTATCAGGATGTAGATTTGAAGAATGGATATTCAGAATTCTTGTTACAAAGGATTTTTTTTATTATGTGTTGTAGGTGTGATACTGTTTGTTGTTGTGATATTAGATAACATGTTGCTCCTTTGTGTCATTATCCAACAGTTCTGTGCACCGTATTTAGTTCTGTGATTTCCTTTATTATGATTATGATTAATGTCTTGGACAACTATTTATAAAAGGTTCATACAATACTCAAGTTGCAGTTACTCGTGTCAGACTACTTCTCATGATGGCACAAGGCTTTAGTTCTTTGCACCCTCGTTCTGTCAGACATACCAGCATAGGATGAAAATCAATATTTACCATATATTTACTGTGGTTATTTCTATAGAAAGTTTGTTTTTGAAAGCTGAAGAATGTGTATTGAGTGTGTTCAGGGCATTATGCTGTTTAGTGTTGGATGTAATTATACAGTAGTACTGAAATCTGTTCTGTTTCTGTTGTTAACACTGTATGAGTTCTTGACATAATATTGTACCATATTATAATTATACTTTTGATATTATGAACAGCAGATAATTCATAGTTTGAATTCTGCATAGTATTTGATAGTCATTGATGGAACAGAACATTAAAGAACATTATAATGTGCTGTTGTAAGTTGCTGAACTTCACGATTTAGCTAAAGTTCCATTGTCATTTCATGACTACATTTAAAATGGATATTAGTTACATAGGTTGAAGTGTGTGGATTGGATTTATGTGGCTCGGGATAGGGAGTGGTGGTGGGGGGCTCTTACGAACACAGTCATGAGGATGGGAATTTCTTGACTGAGTGGCATTAGCATCTCAAGGACTTTGACCCATGTAGTTGCTAATATCTACTTATAGGTAACAATATGTGTATTGTGGGTTCATTTAGTGCTGAACTTGAGAATAAATGAAGTTTTACTTCCACTTACCCAAATTTCACAGCATGGGGGACAACTTAATTGTTTGTAACTACATAACAAAATCTTAGTCATGCTATAATTTCCGCATCAAATTTTGTAAGATTGAATCATGTAAACGAGATATTTAAGAATATGCATTACCTGTGATGACTGGTTCTTTACTTTTAGGAAAAACACATATACTTTTTGATAGGCCAGTAAAGTAGTTGGTCTAAAAATAAATATAGATAAATCTTGCTATATATGAGCATGACATGAAACTAGAGTTGGCAGTAATGTTTTAATGTAATTGTAAAAAATATTTGGAGTTAGGATACAAATTCCAGAAATACACTTTATTATTCAGTTTTAGAACTATCAACCTGTCCACTTTGCAAAATTCAAAAAATTAGGTTATAGAAAACCAGAATTTTACCAGCTAGTGGGATTTGAGGTTTCCACAGTGGTGAGTCTGAAAATGGCTGTCTTCTGGGTTGTTACACCGTGTAGTCTGGTAGAAGTTTACCGACGTTTTGGAGGTTCTTGCTAGTCTTCATTGCCCTGATGATGGGGGCAGCAAGGACTTGTGAAACATCGATAAACTTCTACCAGACTACCCTGCGAACAACCCAGAAGACATCCATTTACATTTTACCAGTTGTTTTAGTAAGTGTGAAACATGGTCTCTAATTTTGCTGGAAGATCTTAAATTACAATATTTACTTTTCTTTCCCTTCGCTCCAAACACAATCCTCCAAGTAACTTTCATTACTTTTCAGTATTCTCTCCTTTTATTTGCCATTACCATGACTGCTGTCAGGAAACGTAAATTTCTTTCTGTAGTGTTGGCACTAAGGTAGTACAATGGAACGCAGGCTATTTATAGACTTACAGCAGCCTGTAATTTAGTTATGACAAGTTCTGGGTATTCTATATATTTTATTCTATTTTGGTATATCCATGAAACTATTTATGCTAATTAAAATGTTCCAACAAAAGCTATAGTAAGCCCTGTATAAGTAGACAATTGTGTGATGCATTCCTCTTCAGAATGTTCTCAATAAGTATGATTTAACATCCTTACTTTTCAACTGCTTCAAAATTTGCCATTAGGAAGGTCAAAGGAAACAAAGATGAATTGAACTGATTGGAACACATCAGCTTCTGGTCTTTGCTGCCATTGTTAATTGATTGGGTGAAAATATTTATAGCATAGAGAAAAACACAGAAGCTCTGATAGATTCTAGTAAAGAATTAAACACAGAAAACAAAGTATATGTTCATAACAATTCAGATTTACCTTATTAATTATAATCAGGTCCAGTCAGTGCCTTTCCACTTTTCCCCGCTGTCTGTAGAGGCAACTCAGCATTCAGTTGAATACCAATTTCTGTGTGGACAGATGAAACCTGTCAGGTAAGAAACCACACCACACCATATGGCATTTTTGTGTATTAATAAATATACACCAAAAAATAAGTCAATTTACCGCCAGCCTCATTTTAATGCCAATATTGGTGGTGGACAAATTGTGGCATTCTGATTGGGTTTGACTGCTTACAGAGCTGTAGTTTATCTGTTTTGTATGAATGTGAAACTTGGTATCGTAACCTTTATCTTTGTGTGTCAAGGAACTCTGACTGACCTTGCATTGCACTAGCATACTGCTAAAACATTTACACTAGCGTTTAATTTGGCCTGCAACCTCACAGTGTGGAGCTTTAAATCCCCTATTCCTGTATGTTGCTTGTTAAGGGAGAGCTCAACTTTAGGGTGCTCAGTAGAATGTGTGTGTGTGTGTGTGTGTATATATATATATATATATATATATATATGAACCCAAATGGGATGATGTTGCAGAAGACCAGAGAAAATTTCATGATGAGTTTCATAATTATTACTTGAGCGTATATTAGGATGATCACATTGAGGATGAAATGGCTGAAGCATGCAGAATAAACAGATGAGAAGTACAAAGTTTGGTCAGAGAACCTTAAAGGGGGGGACCGCTTGGTAAAGCTGGGTGTAGATGGAAGAGGTGTAATGATATTTGAAGTTTTCATGGCACTGAGAATGTGAATTGTGTTATTTTGGGTTGTGATGCCATGTAATCTTGTTGCTACCTAGGAGACTACAGTCCACAGTATTAAAACATATCTTATGGAAATTATGAGGGGAGGACATGCATTGAATACATGCTGGCCAGTATAGGGATTGGCAGTGAACCTTTAGATTTTGGATTCTATAAAAGAAGAGAATTGACTAGAAGTAATTATTATCTTCTCATGCAGGACTCTGTTGCATGTACTTAGTTATTTAGGTAATTGTTGGCACCTTATGCAAAGTTTAAACCTCTTTTTTCTCTGTTATAGTGTATATTTTATCTATTTTCTCTATTATCTATCAGAATAATGTGGTAGGGATTGGTTTTATTTACAATGTGATCAATTAAATTTGAATAAATCAAATTCACCATTACTCCTACCTCTTCTACTGCCGCAGTAGTCCCTCAGCAAATAACTGTGGCAAGGGGAATTGATCCCAGTAAGCATAACTCATTCCATGCGTGGTGGATGAAACTGCATTGATCTTTGTCTTTCAGAGAGTTGACCCATTTGCCAAAATTAATGTATGTCTGAACAAAATCATACATTCTACAGTGGTCATTTCTGTCCTCTGTGATATATACCTACTAAAGTCTAATATTAATGTACCTTTGAAATATACTTTACATTACTGCGTGGCATAGTTAAAAGTATTTAATTTCCTGTACAGTAGTATGTGACCATATTTTATGGCAGCGGGCATGGCTGAAGGGAATGAGAATTTGTACACTGCGTTACTGCAACTAAATGTTTCCTATATGGCTTTAGTTGATTGCACATATGCAATAAGCAGTTATAGATAGGCAGTAAATGTTGGATTACCAGCTTAGGGATTGGACAGGTGGTAACAGCCCCCTCACAGTAAAAAACCTAGCATGTTGTGAAGTGTCACAAAGCACATCAGTCAGATTCTTTGGCACAACTTAAGTAATGAAACTTGCAGGATTAGATGCAGATGGAAGGGTAATTTTAAAGAGGATCTAAATAGTGAGCATGTGAATTAGATTAAAGTGGTTTAACATAGGGCCTGTTCAAAGCTTGGATTCTACAAAAGGTGAGGTATTTCTTGGGCAGCTAACTGCTATAAACTTTTGAGTAAGGGTTCTGTTCCATGTAGTTCATTGTAAGTTTACCTACTGGACTAATGGATTGAAGGAATTATTGACATACTTGTTCTGAGTGGAACAAATATGTGCTATAACATTTTGTGTGTTGTTTTTTCCAGTGCAAAACAGAAACTTTTAGAACTGCCAACAATTGTTTTTATCGAAGGCTCTTAACCCCCCCCCAACTCCACCATATGCTGGTCTACACACAGTACAGTATTATTTATAGGTGCTATTTTGTAAATGTGTTTTGTGAGTTTTTCCCCTGGTAGCGAGTTTCAAATTTTATTTTGTGCCAGTGAAGATGTGAAGATTTGAAGGGTGGTTCAGACGGGAGAGGCTGTAGCGATTATGTGCTTGTAACACTCATAAGCGTATAGCTTTTCCCCTTTGAACTGACTCTGCTGTTCACCATGGTCAAGAGTTGCCTCATTGTATGCATACTACCCCCTACAACTTAGACAACTTCTTCAGAACTTCTGTAACTCTGCAAGATGATGTACTTTAATTTTAAATGCATGTTAGTATTGTTATGTTTTGTATTGTTATTTTGCTGTGATATATATCAGTGAAAATCATTTGTAGCTGTGACCTTGATTAAGGAAATTACACATGCTTTGAAGTATCCCACCCTTGTTTTAGAAGAAAGGAATGTTGAAGCATGCAGAAATTTCAGTTCAGATAGCATGCTTCAAGGAGTGAAAACTAAATCTCAATTGTATGATAACGCATACTGTCATTGCAGCCTTGTTATATTTTAAAGTAGTGGTAGCATTTGTAGGAGTTGTTGAAGGATTCTTAGTACATGATAAGCAGAAGTGTGATCTGTATCAGTGTTTTTCTATTGGTATTTATAGTACCAGTTTTCTCATTTGCACTTTTCTGTTGCCTTATATTTATTGTCAGTTCCTTTCGTCTTGATGTAGACATCATAGTCATGTGACTTTTTTTCTTTCTAGATTTCCAGCCCTGTTTCTGTTACTCTAAAAGGGAAGTAGAAGATGGCAGCTGAGTTGTGTGAACTTCCTGAAGGAACATTGTCTATGTTACCCAGCCCAGTAATGAAGCAGGAGGTATAAAGTGTTGGGATGCACGCAGGAATGGATTCATACGACTTGTTTGGAGAAGATGTAGGTGGTAGCATGCTGGATGGCTTGGCAGACCTTGGTGCTGACAATTTTGATCCTGCCCCACCCGTGTCAGGCTCTTCACGTGATACACCAGGGGCAGGAAGTGGCTATGTTCAACCATCATATGGGCATCAGATGTCCAGCATGCAGCAAGAATCCCCTCTGCAGAAGTTGGCATCATTTGGTGATGATTTTGCATCTTCAAACCATATTGATCCATCATCACAAAGCATATTCCATCAGAACCAAAGTGGGTATGATAATACACGACCCATGTGCCCTCCAGGTACTGTTGGGGGGTATCAAGGTCATGTCAGAACAATGGCGCCCCAGCATGATATGAGAAGACCACCTCACCCCCAAGGCCCCTCAGCAAATCAGTACCCACCTTATTGTTCACCAGATACTATGTATTCACTTGATCAACAGCAAGGAATTGGGGGTCCGAACATAAACATGAATGATGGTATGCAGGCCTGGAACAGTACTCCAAGTTATCCTGGCACCATGAGGCATTACAGTCAAATGAATCAAGGTGCGTATCGACAGCACGTGAATTATCCCCATCAGCAGGATAACAGTATGGGCGCACAGCAGAAACTGGCCCCACAACAACAGTATTCAACAAACCAGCCAGGCCTCATGAACTCCATGATGCAGAACATTCCAGCGACTGGGGCATATCCCATACCACAGCAGCAGAGGATGCAGTCTAATATGGGTCAGCAGCAATGTTACCCACAAGGCTCACAGTCTATAGTGTATCCAGGTTCAAACACGTCATCAGCGTATGGTGGCTACAGTGCCATCCAGCAGCAACAGCAACATCAGCAAGCAAGCAGGATGCCACATCATGTGCAGTATTCACAGCCTAATCAGCAGCAGATGCAGCCACAGATAGACATGAATACATCACAGAATCAGCAGCAGACATCATATAACCACATTCAGCAACATGGGCAACCTATAGCACCAAGTTCTGGACAGATGGGTCATCCAGGAGTTGGAGGCTACAACCAGCAGGCTGCCTCCACATTGGCACAACAGCACCAACAGATGCCAAGACCCATAGGTATCGAGGTGACTGCTGGAGCAGCAAGTTCACAGTACAGTGCTGGTGGACAGAAAACTCATGGCCAAACTCTTGGAGGAGCCAGCCCACAGTATAGAGCACCATTCCCTCAACTATCACCTCAGATGTCTCCTAGACCTCAAATGTCCCCTCGACCTGCACCACCCCAACAGCAAATGTCTCCACGTCCTGTGATGTCTCCTGCTAAACCAAGCACTCTGTCCCCTCATCCACATCCCCAACAATCTACTTTATCACCACGCCCAGCCACTGCCCTCACTCCAAAGTCAACTACATCTTCACCTGTCCCAATGCCTATCCCATCATTTCCTCAGCAAAGTACACTGCAACAGCTGGAGCAGATGGTTATGCCTCCAGTGTCTGGCAGCTCAACAGAGTATCCCCCATATCAACCCAGAACACCACTTGCCCCTCCACCCCAACAAAACAATCCATTATCCCCAGTGCTGGGTCCACGGATGCCCATGTCACCCCAGCAGTGGTCACATCAGTCCCCTAGACCACCAGTCAGCATAAATGGTGGCATAGGTATGTTGGAGCCACAAAGTAACCAGGGAATTCCATATCTCCCTCACACAACATGTGACTCTAGGTCAATGGAGCTACCAAAAGTTGTTCCAGCAACAACAATAGGAGGAGCAAGTCAGGATATGGGGATGCCGCCACTTCAGAGTTCAGCGCCTCCGTCACAAGTCAGTGATTCCAGTAATAATCTTGTGCCACAGTCTGAGTTTGGTGCAGCATCACAACTCTTGGGTGACAAGTTCTCGTCAAACAATAGGACTCCTAGTATGAATGGTGCAGACAGTAGTCACATTCCTCCTTCCCTTACTCCAGCTACTCCTTCTTCAAATTTGGACATGACGAGTAACCAACCTGTTGATACGGCATCCAAGACTGTAGTAGATATGAAGCCTAGCAGTAGTAGTAGCCTGCTGCCACAGGCACCAGGACTGGGTCTTCCACCTGCCGAACAGTCAGCTTATGCTGAGTTTAGCACAGGCAGTAACAGTGTACTTTCATACCAGTCTAGTGGTGTAGATGATATGATGCCTTCCCAGTATCCAGCTCCAGTGGATGGAAGTCTGTCTGTCACAGACCAGAACTCTGATGGCATGATGAATCCCCCTTTGTATGACCCGAGTAGTGTGGGGTCAAGTTCCCATCTCCCACAGAGTCTGGGGCTTTCAGCGTTCAGCCATCAACAAGAGATGGCAGCATTGCAGCAGCAGCTTCAGGAGATGTATTGTATGCCACCTGGACCAGATCATCAGGAGAAGGTGATTGCTTACACTGTCTATTAGGTGTTTACAGTGAAGGTTCTTAATATGGGCATAAGAATTGAGCATAAGGAGATGATTCTATTATTATTTTTAGAAACGTAAATAGAGAACCTTTAATTTCAATCCATATAACCATAACATGAAACTTTACATTTTATAATCAGTTGTCGTGGCTTAGTGGTTAACACTCCTATTCGGGAAGTCCCAGGTTCAAATATTGGCCCTGAGACCGGCTATCCTGACTAGGATTTTTCGTGGTTTTTCCTCAATTCTTCCAGGCAAATGACATGTTAGTACCTTAAATCAGGCCATGACTGCTTCCTTTCACATCCTTTCCAATGCACTATCCTCTCATTTGGCGCTGTGTAGTCTGAGCTACTGAAAACGTGTAATTAAATAAACTATAAATAAATAAAATATGTTTTACAGTAAAACCTGTTTAACACAAACTGAATATCAGAAAATTGATCTTGGCCCATTAATACAAAAAAAACTTATGTAAAATTATTCCAGTGATGGAAAGAAGAAATGAGGATTTAACAAAAAAAGCCTCCTGTTGAAATAGTTCTTTTCGATAAGTTTCCGTGGTAGGTGCCAGTTATCAGCTTTCAGGCTAGAGCCGTATTGTTTATTGAAGTCTCAAACTTTGCAGTTGCCATCTTCAGGGTGAATGTCATGGGTAAGGGAAAATCAGTTATGTTTTGTAGCCTTAGCCTAATTGTGGCAGGTAAGTTAATTTAGTGCACAAGTATTTGGAACACATGCAGCTGTAATCCAGTAGTCCAGTAAACATATGCTTCTGTGACAGGAGATGGTTCAGGCTACAAGATAAACAGACACCTTTATTTTTTGTACTGAAGCAACTGCTCCGCTTGAATGAAAATGACGGAAATGAAATACGCAAGCGTGGGTCAAAGTGATGGGTGGCTTGGGTTTTCAGCAGAGCTGCTGTTCAGGCCAAATCCATGGTCTTGTCAGTTTTGGGAAAAGCAGTGATTTGTATTGGTAAAGGGGGCATAGCCAACCAAATTTGAAAGTTCAGATTTAAGAATTCAAATGTGTTTAGTTATGGAAGCAAGAGATGACAGATGCAGGCTATCTTGGTACATCTTGGACCCAACACTTGGCACAGTTCATGGAAGGTGCATATATAGTTATATGTTGATAAGATTCAAAATTACAGATTGTAGAAATGTTAACCTAAATAATAGTGCCAGTAAATATAGCAGAGGCAAATTTAGTTATTCCACATGGTGCATATGTAATTATTTGATAATTTTATTTGCATCAAGTGCATATAACAGTAGTTCGGAGTGATTGACATTTATTCATACGTCTTCAACAGTGATTGATGTTTCATATTCCAAGTGGCAAAGAACACCTTACTGAAGAATTTTGATTTATTAATTTACCAACCCATTGATCTTTCTCCACCACATCTGCAACATTTATCCTATAATTACTATCCCCATATCATACTAGGACCAATCCAAGCTACTTAGAGAAGACCTTAAGATTAAAAATGTGTCATAATAACTACTAGTGAGGCAGAGCAGTTCACCTAGCCACATTCACCTTATTGTACTAAGTTGGTATGTGATATTCCCTAATAATTGTTACTAAAGCCAGTTTTTTGACCCTTACAAACAGGTACAGTATAGCTTACATATCTACTAACTTACTGAACTTTTATCACTTTCTTTCAAACTGTACAGTCTAATTAACCGTATTTTTTGTTATCATCGAGGCAGTGACATAAATATATTTTATTTCTTTTAAAATGTTGCATTCTGACTAGATTCTTATGGAACTAGACCAAAAAATGCAGCAGTAGATTTTAACAACTTAATTATTTGAAACGCGAGATGTATAATGAACTGTAAGATGAAAGATATTAGGCTCCTTGTATTTAACCTGTTTTGAGCTCTGAGTGCATTTGTTATGATTCTATTTAAAATTGAAACATTTCCAAGTATGAAATC